CTTGAGACTTACATGAGACTTGCAAAACACCGACTTGGTCCCACCTCTGATGTGGACAGACTAAAAATGAAGGGTTTCTCAAACACGCGTGAATGAAACAAAACTCCAGGTCTGTTTGTGATGTGGAAACAACATTATAACGCACTGTAGATCAGAAAATATCATAATGTAAACCCTTTAAAGCTTAATTTGAACTCTCCAAACTGTTTACATTTGCGTTTCAACACCCTCGAGGTGGTCTGCGGGTCCACCTATCCCATAAACATAACATCTTTCAATCCGCATACCCATCCTTCACTTTATATTACATCGCCACTCCTTTTACATTACACGCCAGATGTTAGCCTACTGCTCTGTTATCATCACCGGCCGAGCATGTGTTTCGCGTTATCTTTCCGAGGTGTGGGCTACTCTCCACTCCCCCATAAGCGACTTTGACTTTCCCCTCGCTCCTCTGCTTGTTTTTCAGGCGACGGCACCAGCTGGCCTCCCCATCTGGCCCAGGACAGCCACGTACCCGCTCGCTCTGTACCTGTCCCGCTGATCTGCCACTCAGATTATCCATAGACTTCCATACGCTGTAGCGCTGTAGCTGGATGCAGTTGGTCCCTTCGGGCGTTCGGGGCTATGAGGCTTCAGAGTTATTGTGTTTTGTTGCCGTTACAGGGGCTGAAATTGGATCCTGCTCCCTCTGGATACTAGTACTCGGAAATAAGCTGAACCGGTGTGACCTCCCTGTTGATGTGGATGTGTTTGGTACATTAAAGACACTATAGAAATGTTATGGCAGTGTAAGCTACTTTGGGCACTACTTGTGTTATTATTTAAAGTCATTTAAAGTCACAGGCTGTGTTAAAAAGTGGACTTGGGGAGTGTGACGTCACCCAGAGCGATGTCTGTTATTAATGTTCATATCCTGAGTTATGGACAAGCTCACAAAATACATAATAAGGATCTTGTAGAGCGGGTTAATACGAACATTTTAAGATCAGAATGGCAAGTCTGACAGCAGAAGTTACAAAGACGGGAAACTTTTTTCAATACAGAGTCAATGGAGTCCTGCACGGATCCATTTTTGGAGACCCACACCCGTCCGCACCTGCGCAGTACAGCACCACACCCACTCATTAACCCGTGATTTTATCAGAGTTAAACCTGGACCCACCCGGACCCGTTAACATTCCACCCGTTACCCGCACGTGCTCATGATAAATCACACACAAATTAAAAACATTCTAACTGAAGCGTCCATCAGAATATGAATTGAAAAGTTACAACTTCAAGAATTACAATCATGAAATGAAATGAAACGGTTACACTTTCTTCAGTAAGAACACGAATTCTCGACTGTCATCACCTCACAGGCATTATTTACAGGCCATGGAATGAACCAAGACTAAACCGGGACTAACCCTGGACTAACCTAGAACTGATTCCAGGACTGAACCAGGAGGACTAAACCAGGACTGAACTAGGACTGAACTAGGACTAAACCAGAACTGAACCAGGACTCACTGTAGGGACGGGCTTGGAGGTGCGCCCGCGTAGACCGTCGGGTGACCGCAGACGAAAGGACCGGCGCAGAGCTCCACGCCCAATGCAGCCGTCACGCGATCACGCTTTGCGAATACCCCGGGTGGGCTCAGGGTTCTCTCTCTCTCTCGCTTAAGTCCAAGATTAGTCCTGGTTTAGACCTGGTTTAGACCTGGTGTAGTCCTGCGGTAGTCCTGCTGTAGTTCTGCTTTAGTCCTGACCCGGTGCAGGACTCACCTACATGCTCAATTCTTATTTGAAACACAGCGGCGTTCATTTATATAAAGTCTGTGGTATAAGTCTTAAAAATCTCGAAACCTGTTGGCATGACACTTTTCTATGCAGTATGTCAGCAGAGGGCGCTAGAACCACATCCGCTGGTCTGTGTGTAGTTTCTAAGCCCTGATCTTTAAACATGGCGCCCGTACAAGTCAGTAGGCCGATCTCAGAGGAGCATGTCTCAGAGGAGCTCGAGCTGAGCCGAAGCTAACGATTAAAATGCGTTTTTTAAGACAACGGACAGATTTTGAGCTGAGAAAAAGTTTATGATCTGAAAATAGATTAAAATCGCCACAAAAGCAGACATTTTTGAAAGTTGTAGGTGCCCTGTCAGCCGAACACGAGCAGTTTGTGATTGCATTGTGCTTTATGGGAAAAATCCTTTCTGGGCAGGAGGGATTTTTTCCGCTGTAGTTCCAGTGAGATGCCAACTCAAGACCGATACAAGCAGAAACACCCTGTCCAATTATTTTAATAGATCCATGTTTCCAAGCCCTGATCTTTAAACATGGCCCTCAGTTTGAGTCAGTGGGCGGAGCTCAACGGTGCATGTTTACCACGGCTAGTTTATCCAAGCCATCCCAGTGTAGAAGTGACCAACATCCATGAGCAGTAGAGATCCTTTCCGGCGTGATCGTGCAGACCGTGTGACCGTGCTGACCACTCAGAGCAAGAGCGGAATAGAGCGAGCTGTTTTTAAGACAACTGAAGGGTTTTTGATGTGCCAAGAGTTTGAGATTTGAAAACAGATAAAAAATAGCCACAATACCCGACCTCTGTGAAAACTGTAGGTGCCTGTCAAACGAACACGAGCGGTTTGTGATTACACTGCACTCTATGGGGGAAATGCTTTCAGAGCAGACAGGGCAAGTTTATTTGTATAGCACAATAACTATAGAAAGTAATTCAGAGGGCAGGAGGAGGAGGAGGAGGGCAGGAGGAGAAGGAGGAGGAGAAGGAGAAGGAAGAAGAGGAGGGCAGGAGGAGGAGAAGAAGGAGGGGAGGGAGAGAGGAGAGGAGGGCAGGAGAAGGAGGAGGAGGGCAGGAGGAAGGAGGAGGAGGAGGAGAAGGAGGACAGGAGGAGGAGGAGGAGGGCAGAGGAGAGGAGGAGGAGGAGGAGAGGAGAGGAGGAGAGGGGGCAGGGAGGAGAGGAGGAGGAGGAGGAGGAGGAGGGCAGGAGAAGGAGGAGGAGGGCAGGAGGAGGAGGAGGAGGAGGGCAGGAGAAGGAGGAGGAGGGCAGGAGGAGGAGGAGGAGGAGGAGGAGGAGGAGGAGGGCAGGAGAAGGAGGAGGAGGGCAGGAGAAGAAGGAGGAGGGCAGGAGAAGGAGGAGGAGGGCAGGAGGAGGAGGAGGGAGGAGGAGAGGAGGGCAGGAGAAGAGGAGAGAAGAGGAGGAGAGGCAGGAGAAGGAGGAGGAGGAGGAGAGGAGGAGGGGAGGAGAAGGAGGAGGGCAGGAGAAGGAGGAGAGGAGGAGGAGGGCAGGAGAGGAGGAGGAGGAGGAGGAGGAGGAGGGAGGAGAGGAGGAGGAAGGAGAGGAGGAGAGGGCAGGAGAAGGAGGAGAGAGGCAGGAGAAGGAGGAGGCAGGAGGAGGAGGAGGAGGGCAGGAGGAGGAGGAGGAGGGCAGGAGAAGGAGGAGGAGGGCAGGAGAGAAGGAGGAGGAGGGCAGGAGAGGAGGAGGAGGAGGAGGCAGGAGGAGAAGAAGGAGGAGGGCAGGAGGAGGAGGAGGAGGAGGAGGAGGAGGAGAGGAGGAGGAGGAGGAGAGAGGAGGAGGGCAGGAGGAGAGGAGGAGGAGGGCAGGAGAAGGAGGAGGAGGGCAGGAGAAGGAGGAGGAGGACAGGAGGAGGAGGAGGGGAGGAGGAGGAGAGGGAGGAGGACAGGAGGGAGGAGGGCAGGAGGAGGAGGGCAGCGGCTGATTTTTCTCAGCTTTAATGAACTGGCCGCTAATCCAACTCACGACAGGTCTAAGAGCATTACCCTCTGCAGATAGTCAATTTCACAGTGAAGGCAGTGTGAGAGTGCACATGAGTTTACATGGTGAATGTGTATACTGTGGACTTTAAAAACACAAAGGAGCTTTGTATGCCATGTACACTTGTGGTGTCAGGCTTTTTGAAAGTGAACGCAGGCATCAAACTTTGCTTTGAATGAGATCATAATAATAACACGGTTAAAAGCTCAGAACTACTACGTTCTCTTGAGGACCACAAGAATGTTCATGTGGCCAGTAGCTGAACATTTAAAACAAGTCCAGCTGCGAAATTCAAAGTGAACAATTCCCTCTCTGTAAGTGATACTCTTGTGTTGTGTACTGTATTGGGTACTTGGCCTGTGAGCACTGACACGTTGGGTCAAATACAGGTTATGTATTTAACTCATTTTGTTTATTGTTGAGGTGTTTGAATTTAAACCAACTTTAAAGGTACACTGTACATTTTCTGATGGAGGACCTGACAGCCGCTTGTCTCCATGTTGATGTTATTGCTTTGCCACACTGCCACAGTATGACAGTGTACAGCACAATTTGTACACAAAGCGTGAGCGAGAGAGAGAGATACACTTTATTGATCTCGAGGGAAATTCAAGTTTTGCTGCTGCAACATTTCTCAGTAGCCTTTGTGATCAGATCCTGTGGAAGAGCCAAAGGTGTCCTTCAGCAGTGTCCAGGGGGAAACAAGTGAACACAACAAGAATCAGAAAGTTTAAAAGTTGTTACTCCTCTCTGGTGTTTCAGTTGGTGATGAAATGGTTTAAGACACAACCAACCAAATAAAAACAGAAATGATCATCATGAAATTAACATTAAAAGAGAGAAACTTTTCTAACGAGAATTTACTCAGTTGCTGTTGTTGATGGTGTCTGTGTAATCCCTCAGTCGTTCAGGTAGAATCCATAGCAAAAGAAAAAATACATTTCTTTAAGTTTATCTGTTTCCATGGAGACAAGCCCACAATGCCTCCAGGCCAAGTTACAAGTCAGATCTGTGAAGAGGCGAGCTAACTCTCTGTGGGAATGCATATTTTTGTAGTATTTTTGAGCAGTAAGAGACTCGTAACTGAATAAACACAACATAGATGAGTTTATTGCCATACTGTGATATCTCCATGGAAACAAGCTTGTGGCGAACCCCGACCAGAAAAGTTACACACTCCACCTTTAACAATCACCATTTCTGTCTTTCTCCTCCGGTACAGGTAACAGCATCCTCCACTCGGCAGCAGACAGCGTGACCAGCGCGGTGCAGAAGGCCAGCCAGGCCCTGAACGAGAGAGGGGAGAGGCTAGGACGGGCGGAGGACAAGACCGCAGACATGATGAACAGCGCCGAGCAGTTTGCAGTCACCGCGCACAAGGTAAGAAAGAGAGATGCAGAGATAAAGAGAGAGGGGGGTCAGGGAAACTCATCCAGGGCTGTGCAATCAATTACGTTTTAATCGAGGTTAAAAGGTCCATATTACGCTATTTTCTGATCTATGTGGCAATACGGGAAGAGCTCCAGTATGTTTTTCAATGCAATACACCTACACTAGATCATCATTTAGATAATTTCACACCTGGAATTACCAATCTTTACCGAACTAAGCTATGTTTTTGAGAAGGTAACAGCATTATAATGTGACTTAAAACCTCAGAAGAGTCATTTTGCATAATATAGGACCTTTAAGCGTTAGTAATTTCTAATCGTCAATGATCACGTTGGGTGTTTTTCATGAGAGGTTTATATCCAATCCAGTGTAAGTAAAAGTATGCGGTTTGGAGTGTTCAGATGTTGGAAGAAGAAATTTGAGTTTTTGGTGTTACATGGCAGTGATTAAAGTGTTCAGGAAATTCATACTGACAGTTGTTTTAAAGAGGGGGTGTTATGCAAAATAAACTTTTTGCAGCTTTCCGCCGTGCTATAACGTGTTTTTTGTTTTTTTTTTATCATTAAATCGAAGTTTTAGATGTCATCCATGCATGTTTGAGTAATCTAACGATCTCTCCCGAACCCTATTCAAACTCTCCTGATGGTTAGTGTAAGATTCTGTGCAGTCTACGTCACCCAGGCTCCAGTTTTCCATAAATATGTAAAAGCATGACAAACTTGACAACCGTGGTGTGATGTGCAGGAGTTTAATTAGCAGGATGCACTCTGATTGTGTTGTGACGGAGCTCTGAAGGAGAGTGACTTAGTGCGGAGAGAGCGATTTTGATTCTTTGCATCAAAAATGCTCTGAAACAGAAATTTAAGAAACATGTTAGAATGACCTAATATTTTAAGTAACGAAAATTTTTTATCGTGAATGATAAATATGAGGAAAAATAACCTACGATTGCAATTTTCCTGTAAAATTGCTTAAAAACTGTTGGATTTTTACCATTGACGCAACAATCTTGGGAATATACACGCCATTTAAAAGACGCTACAGTAGAACTCCATCAATTTCGAACAACAAGCTTTTCATTTAAAATCCCAAATGCTAACCACTCTGCCACGCCCTCTTAGTCAGGCTGGCACCACCTAGTTCCTCCGCTCAATTTCATTTCTCTCCAGCGACTAGGTCAGGAATCGGAATACACTAGACCCTTCGCAAAAACCCTGGAAGTGCGAGTTTGGGCACCAGCCAATCATCGAAGAGTGATATATTCTGTGTTGGCAACGATTCCAGAGATCGGGGATTTAGGGCCGGAATAAAGAGAATGTTTGGTGAATTTTATCAAGGGGATCGATGTTATTGCCCTTCTTCCTACAGGATTTGCGAAAAGCTTAACATACCAGTTATCCCCGTTAGTGGCGCATTACATATGTCACGACCAAGTAGCAGCGATTGGTTAAATAAATAAAAAAAAAAAAACACCTACCGTCGAGTGAACAAATTCTAAGGCTGTGAGGCCCACATACCCTTTAAAACCTTACCTACTTTTTTACCAGTGACGCAACAATCTTGGGAATATACAAGCCATTTAAAAGAATTACAGTAAAACTCCATTTCGAAAGACAAGCTTTTCATTTAGAATCACGAATGCTAACCACTCTGCCACCGCCTCCCACTCCCACCAGCGGATGTTACGCAGTACACCCTTAAAAACCTTGCCTACTTTTTACCAGTGACGCAACAATCTTGGGAATATACACGCCATTTTAAAAAGTTACAGTAAAACTCCATCAATCTCGAACAACAAGCTTTTCATTTACAATCACGACTGCTAACCACTCTGCCGCCGCTGCCTCCCACACAGCCCTTCATCACTGTACGGTCTGATAGAAGTGCCCCCGTGTGCCGCGCCGTGATCTGACGCGGCGCTGGCATAACCCATTATCTCTTTATTAGCCTATCCGAATCCGCTCGCATTTGCGTATTAGTAATTGTCCGACCAGCGGGGGGCGCGTAGGAGCGAACCGGGTTCTCCAGCTGGTCTCAAATGAGCTCCCCCGCCGCGAAGAGTAAAAAGAAAGACAAAAGCCATCAGCCAAAAAAAAAAAAAAAAAAAAACGTTGAAGGAGAGATGGATAACGGAGCGACGGCGGATTTTAATACACTGGAAATTCGAAGCGGAGTCATTTGTTTTGCATTATCTTGACGTACTCTGCGTGTGTCAACGAGCGGCACGGGAGAAGTGGACGAGACGCTAACTGAATTAACATGGCAGTCTGGAGCTCGCCGTGTCACCTTGAGAGTAATGGCATTGTCCATTCATGTCCAGACGGCCGTTTATGTTTTGTAATTTATAATTTTGTTTGATGGGATAGTGCTTGCGGTAAATCTTGGTCATAATTTTACATTGGTTGAGGGCAGTGGTCACCAACCTTTTTCAGCCAAAGATCTACACGCTTGGTCCCAGAAAAAAGCCAGATCTAACAACATGAACGTAAATAACAACAACAAAAGTGATCGTTTTTATCATTTCAGACAGCTTTATTTTTGTAATCTTGTAATATTTAACTTAAGGAACACTCAGTTTTGGTAAATGAACTGTTTTCTGGGGACTAAAACACTCAAACAAAACAAACACAAACAAAACGCAAACTACATGCAGTGGAAACAACCAAAATAGTGCAAATTTGACCACAAAACAGCATTGACAGTGTATCAAAAGCGTTAATTAGAGGAGTTCTATTATTATCAAACTTAGCGTGATGGCTGAGACTGAATTTCCTCTGATAATGCTTTGAAGTCAGACTGTCAGAATGTTTCTGTGCTTGGATTTCATTTGTGAAAAGGCCACCTCACACAGATAAGTTGAATCAAAGTAAGCACTCACTTTCAAAGCACATTTAGTTAGAAGAGGAAATGCCACATGCTAAATGGTGACATACATACGGTGGTGAATCCTTGAAGTGCAGCTTGACAAATTCAATGTTGAATTTAGGCTGGACATCTACCAGGGACATGGCAAAGATCGCATCGCCCTGTCAATCGTGATTTACGGGTCGGTGACCACTAATCTAGAGGCAGTTTGTGAAGAAACGTAGAAATGAAAAGAAGTAGAGAGAACTTAAACTAAACTAGATATAACATAATTTTTACAGCTACGTAAAGTTTTGTTTAAATGGGCAGGTTCAAATTTTGAGTTCCTGAAAATCAAAATCTCATTCCATTGTATTGTGTTACGTCACTGGCCATCTTTTAAAGGGCCCATGTCATGCAAAATAACTCTTTTCACATTGTATCTTCTGCATATTTACAAGCACAATTTGGGTTTTGGAACATCCATTATACAATAAATATGAAATCACAGACCAGGGACTATGAAAGACCGGCTATTGCTCATCCCCCCGCCCGTCCTGAGAAAACACAGACTCCGCCCTCCAAACGTGACGTAGGCTCTGAGTGAGCCGCCCTTCCTCCGCCCATCTCAGGGAGGGAGGGGGAGACAGGCGTGCACCCTGATAGCTGCAGGAATAAACTTTTATTCATCATGGAGATACAGGAGTTCAGCCGCATGTGTTGGACCCGGAATCGGACGAGGACTTGGAGGTGCACGAAGCTCAAGCACCGCATCAACATCAGCTGAACATTACTGATTGGTAAAGTATTAATAAACACTAGTAGATAAACTTATTATATCGTGTTCACTGCAGTGTAGAACAATGAGCTTATGCTGTCACTTTTGTTTAGGTGTTCATGTGGGAATTGTCAGCTGATGCGGGGTGGAGGCGGGGCGGAGGCGGGGAGGCGGGGCAGAGGCGGGGCGGAGGTGGTGGAGTAAAAAGTAAAAGAGTAGCTGTTGACATGACATCACAAGGTGGAACAGAGCATTTTGAGCTTTTGGAAGTATGAAAAGTGGTGTGAATGAAACAAAACACAACTCCAGGTCTGTTTTTGAGAAGGTAACAACATTATAACATAACTAAAGCTCACAAACAAAAAAAAACACACACACAGTGCACCTTTAAAAACAATGGAGCACTTCCTGTATTACCACATGACATCACAAGGTGGAACTCAAAGTTTTCAGTTTGAGAGAAGAACTCAGCCTAAATTTGCAGGATTTGTGTGTAAATGATACAAACAAATGGATAAAAAATGTAGAAAACCATACAACTCATGGTTAGCTTTCAGAATTGTAATTTCTGTTCAGTTCTTTGGATGATACAGCATGTCAAATCAATTAAAATAAAAAAAATAATTAAAACTCTAATAGGCCGGCCGTACCCCACCATCTTGCCTAGTGTCTTGTCAGATATGATTGGGGGCCCCTGGAGTTCCCATGGGCCCCTGATGATCCTGTCTTATTAATAATCCCACACTCTGACATGCAGCTGTGGTTTGGGGCCTACGATTACGGGTGCCTCTGTGGGACACATTACAATCCAACATTAGCATACATTAGCATTTTTATATCCGTATTATAGCTCTCATTCTCCCATTCAATTTTCTGCTAATTTTATATTTCTTTGGTAAGTGTGTAACCCAAGATACATAACTGCTGCAATAAAATCTGACATTACACAGAGAATACATTTTTACTGGGGCAAGACAAATTTCACACACGGTAATGCTAACAACTAGAATGTTAATTGTGTACTTCCTGACTCTCGGGCAATAAAACGCGTTGTAATTTGTTACAGACTTTGCACCGCTGACTTATTTTAATCTCAAGAGCTGCTTTTACAATATATCTGTTATGGGACAATATAATAATAATATCTTCTCTGGGGCAAGACAAATTTCACGTATGTAATGCTAAAAACTAGAATGCTAATTGTGCACTTTCTGATTCTCGGGTAATGAAAGATTTTGTCATTGTGGACAGCACACAGCAGCAGACTTATTTTGAACTCAAGAGCTGCTTATACAGTACATCGTTTCTGTGACAATATATTTTTACTGGGGCAAGACAAAGTTCACATACCGTAATGTGAGCAACTACCATATTTTCAGACTATAAGGTGAACTTAAAATCCTTTAATTTTCTCAAAAATCGACAGTGCTCCTTATAATCCGGTGCACCTTATGTATTAATTCTGGTTGTGCTTACTGACACGGCGCTCAAAAATCTGTCAAAATGTTTTAGTATGACTTTGGTAAACTACAAAGTTGCACCTATGGCTACCCTAGTCAGGAGCCTCACAGAGTACACTCTGAAAAGTTTCACATGAACCATCTCCAATGCGATAGAAGAACAAAACAGACTCACCATCAGCAGCACATCCTCTGTCACAAAAAAAACACTCATATTCCACTGAGTCGTGTCCTTTAGTCTGACAGAAGCTGAACCACATCAGCGCACAAGGAGCGAGCCGTTTTTTTCAGTGCTTCTAGTTTATGCAAATGAGCCATGTGGTTTTAAGTTTTGTTTCTGTAAAATGTAAACAAATGTGCGCAAAGCTGCATTAAACACATTATTACTCAATGTATATTTGAGTCTTGTGTATTTTTATTTTTCATTTATTTATTTAATGAGACAGGGGCAAGTGCATAATCTACATTACCCTTAAAGGAGAGATGCATTGTACCAGGTTGTGCTAATTTCCACCTGTAGTCTGGGCAGGTTCATTGATTGATTGTATTTAATTGACCTTAACTATCATCTCATTTCTTTGTACTAAAAAAAAACAAACAAAAAAAACTTAAATTATCCACCCACATTCACATTCATAATCCACATTCACCAAGACAGGGAGGCAACACCGGGTGAATTACACCACGATCTGCCACTGTATCATGGACGCCTGGGCTAAAGGGTCAGTCTCAAGTGTCGCCCGTTTGTTTCGCTTAATATGTATGAAAATAGACGAGAGAATTCAACATTACTGATATTGCACCTTATAATCCGGTGCACCTTGTAGTTCAAAAAATATGGTACAATGCGCACTTTCTGATTCTCGGGCAATAAAATGCTTTGTAATTAGATGCAGACAGCACACAGCGGACTTATTTTGAACTATTCTGTGACAATATATCTTTACTGGAGCATATCAGATTTTATTCATTGTAGTGCTAAAAAATGGAAAGCTAATTGCACATTTCCTGATGCAGACACTCCACAGCGGACCTACTTTTACCTCAAGAGATGCTTATACAATATATCTGACAATTTTTGCGCAAGTACATGGGGAAAATACATGGGTAATCAGTTTAAATTATTAGTTTATGTCATTACTGTAGTTGTTGATTTTTACTGTCCCAATTTCTAACGCCCTCTTCTGTCTTTTTTCTCTTTGTTTTGCAGCTGGCCATGAAGCACAAGTGTTAGACCACTGCCACCGGATGTACAGACGGATTTCCTCTTCCTTTTGTAGAGATTTGAATAGAATCAGCGTTTGTTAGAATAATACGGTATTAACTCCATCCACACTGAGCCAAAGGGACGAGAACGCAACACGTACCCCAGCGTCTCGTGCACGCTCGCAGCGGCAGTGCACGTGACGACAAGGTACCGGCCATCACCGCGGCGACGGAGCGGTAGCACCAAAACATACTCACCCGGTGTATTTGTGTGTGTGTGTTAATATTTGTAATGCCTATTCAGGGCCGTTTCTTGCTGTGTGGACGGGCTGGTGGGGGTTTGTCCACTAGGGGGCCCCAGAAAAGAGTTTGTAAGCACATTTAAACCAACAGTGAAGTAATTTTTTTAAATTACACTTTAAACCATAGACATATAATTAGTAGTAATGCTATCATCCACTCAGCTAGTCCGGGAAGAAAGGTTATGGAACGCCGGAGCTGGTCCCCTTGTATTTTCTCGTATTAGTCCTTAAGGTTGGGTATCATTAAGAAGTTGCCGATGCGATACTTATCTTGATACATAGGCCGCAATATGATGCATATCTCGATACAGTGAGCTTTCGATTCGAGATGATTCAATGCAATATATTTCAAAATCGATATGATACGATTCAGTAAAAAGTAAAGGTTAAATCATGGTTGTGATACTAAAAGTGTTAAACCACTTCTTGTGCAAAGTTAATATAAAATACAAACATTTTAATCATCAAAACAGTGAACGTGTCCAATGTGTTGCAAAAAAAAAAAAAGTTTCCTTCCTCTGATCAAGCAACAAAACTGTAGCTGTAACAAAATAATTTAGTAAAATATGCCTAAAAAATACTCTTGGCGATATATCAATACAGCAGCACATGATATTGATACTGTATCATCACATTAAGCATTATTATCCCGGTCAGAGGGTTGTTAAAACTCATTGCTGAGTATGTAAACCTTTAAATGTTTTATTTTAGATCATAATTAAGTGTAAAAGTGACATTTGAGCTAATGGCTTATCAAGTTTTTATTCTGTGATTCCATAGAAATAGAAAAGGTAAAACCATACTTTAGAACATTCTCCACAGATACGTTTTATGCTGTACTGTGGACAATTATTAGCCAGGCTGGTGCCACCTAGTGCCTCCTACGATTAATTTCTGTCCAACGACTAGGTCAGGAATCAGAATACACTAGATGGTTCTCAAAAACCCCGGAATTGCGAGTTCGGGCACCAGCCAATCAGCGAAGAGCCATACATTCTGTGTTGGCAACGATTCCAGAGATCGAGGATTTAAAGCCGGAATAAAGAGAATGTTTGGTGAATTTTATCAAGGGGAAAGACGTTATTGCCCTTCTTCCTACAGGATTTGGGAAAAGCTTAATATATCCCCGTTATCAGCTTATTAAATACCAAATAGCAGCGATTGGTTAAATAAAAAAAGTACCTGCCTACCATCGAGCGAACGAATCCTAATGCTGCGAGGTCAAACGGTTTCCACCAAAATGAAACCGGCTCATGAATCAGGCTAGACGACGATAGCCAAAGAACCAACATTTCCATGGAAACAAGCAGGAAGAGTCCGGTTTGTGGAGATGCAAGCCCACTCAGAGTAAAGACATCAGTTTGTATGTTTTTTTAGTGCCGTCAAAACAAGTCTGTTATCTAGTAAAAAAAAAGTTACATACTGTGACTTCAAAGAGAAACCTACCCTTATTTTGCTTTTTTTTTTTTTAGGTTTCATTAAAAATTGCAATAATTTAATGATATATTGTACTGCCCTTTATATATTTTTAAATTAAAGCGTACATCTGATATAAATTTTTGAGGCATCTTCATAAAAAAGATACACATTTTATTTGGCATACATGGTCCCCCCAACAGTATTTTGCATAGGCCCCCACAAAGCTCGAAACGGCCCTGTTCCCAATGACATTCCAGTGTCATGATTGCGTTAATGTAATAACTGCACCGGACACAGCCATTCATTATTTCTTTTGTGACGTTTCAATGCTTCCATACAGTGTTACCATCTCAGACTACAAGGGAATAGAACAGGCCTTAAGAGCAGTTTACAGTGGTCTGGTGTGGAATGGGTCAGCTTGGGTTGGATTATGTTGCCAAAAGTGGGTCAAAAATAGCCAAAAGTGCAAATTATATACCAATTAAGACTTCATTTGATTGCATACTTCCTGTGGCTAATATTTCTCATACTTTTACTTCAATTACGTGACAGTTTGTGGGAAAAAAGTTGACAAGAAAAGTACAAAAGTACTGAAAGTATCGATGAAAATCCCAGAATCTTTCTACCTGTTATGAATTTAGGGACAATTTACACAATTTGCTTTTTTTCCTGAGAGGTTAAATCTTAATTTCACAAAATAAGACATTGTAATTTATGTTTATCAGTCTAATCATAACTAATGTGTAATTTAGTTTTGGCCCTTGTTGACATTATGGTTGCTATCGGTAACCGTTACGGAATTACCTCTACGTATGTTTTATCTGCTGTCCAAAAATAAAAAGAAAAAAGAAAAAGAAAAGAACATTTAAGCAAGTTTTTCATAATCTTAAAGATGCACTGCGGAACTTTTCTTGTTTTTGCTTTTCCTGGAATGTTCCACGGTATGACATTAAACATATCCATCTAGTATTTATTCATTACGGGTGTTTCTGTTGCTTAAAAATTCTGTGACTAGGCGCGACTCTTCACAGATCTGAAACGTAATTTTGTGTAGTGCTGTACCTGCTTGTGTCTCGTGATAGATTTAAGGTTTAATCTATATTGCGGAACATTCTAGACAAAGCAATGACAATTCCATGGAGAAAAGCAGGTGAGATGTTACGTAGTGCGTCTTTAAATGTCAGGTTTTTTTAAAAATTAGGTTTGAGGATTCTTGGAATGACTGAAGCTTATTATAAAGTATGTACCTTTTTTGCCTGGGAAAAAAATACTAAAGTTAATTTAGCATTTGGAAAAACAGAATTGCTTCATACCTATTGCATAGAAACCAAAATATTATTGTCCCTCAATGACATCACTGTCGACATAGCTCTATTTCTCTGGCCTATACTGCCCTCTGCTGGCGTCTCTGTAGTACCACACCACCAATGAAAACTGCTCTTACATTTTATCTCGCCTTCGCACATGCACCAGACTCACCAAAATATTTCTGGAATACTTAGGCCAACATTTTTGAAAGTCTACTTGAAGAACTGTTCTGGGGATAAGCTTTTTCTTTTTTTTTTTACTCATTTGAGAGGTAGTGTCCAATGAATGAACCAGCTTCTGCTCTGTACAAAGCTAATGGATGTTTCTAATAGTACTTTAGCAGCAGCGTTTCTCAAGCTGTGGTTCGGGCCCTCTGTACGTTTTATAGTGGTATTTGCTAGAATTAATTTTATAGTATATGTGTTACATGAAATAACTGTCTTGATATGTCCAATAGGCTTTACAATAACTCATCTGTTGTGATCACATTTGGCCCTACAAATTAGAAAATCATTACATGAGAACATTTTCCATCACATTATATTATATCAGCAGATGCCACTACAATATAATCATTATATTTTATGGTATTGTTAATGTAATATGATTTAAAATTACGTAACATGGCATAAGATTACATAAAATGTATTTATCTTTAGTAACATGGCATAACAAAACATTACATTTCATTATCCTTAGTAAAATGTGATAACAAAACATGTCATTGCAAGTGTCTAGTAACATGCCATAGGAACACATTACATTACCTTATTACATCACACTGAATTTAATTATTACTAATACAATGTCTTAGCAATGCATTACATTATCATGACATAAATTTATCTCTAGAAAGAGTTCAAAACATTACATTACCTTATTACATTAATCTTTTCTCCAGTAACATGTCAAAGCATTACATTACCTTATTACATTGCATTACATTTAATTACTTCAGGTATACTTCATTATTCTCTCATAAGCTTGGGGACCTATTTTCAGATCAGTTTGGTCCAGACCACCTTAGCTGGAGGATTACCTGTAATAACATATCATACCAAAACATTACATTACCTTATCACATAGTGTTACATTTAGTTATATTTAGTACCATGCCATCGTAAGACATTACACTGTCTTATTACATTAGTTTATCTGTAATAACATTTCAAAGCATTACATTACCTTATTACAGTACAGTGAATTTAATTATCACTAATGACATGTCTTAGCAATGCATTACATGATCATAACATACATTTGTCTAGCAACATTTCAAAGCGTTACATTACCTTATTACATTGCATTACATTTAATTACTTAAGGTGTACTTCATTAATCTCATAAGAGAAATTCACTCTCCTGTCAGTAGCAGTACAGCGCTTGGGGACCTATTTTCAGATCAGGTTGGTCCAGACCACCTTAGCTGGAGGATTACCTGTAAAAATATACCAAAGCATTACATTACCTCATCACATAGTATTACATATAGTTATATTTAGTAACATGTCATAGTAACACATTACATTACCTTTTTACATGACATTACATTTAGTTATATGAAGTAAAATTTTACAAACATCTTCCATTACCTTGTAACATGACATGACATGACATTACCTTATTACATTACATTGCATTTAAAAATCTCTTGTCATAGCAGCGCTTTACAGGACCTTATTACACAGCATTACATTAAACTGTCTATAGTAACCAGAGGTGGGGACTTGCAAGTCGTGAGTTGGACTCGAGCCAGACTTGAGTCACTATTTTTAGGACTTGAGACTTGACTTGATAAAATAGACTCGACTTGAGACTCGACTTGAGAAGACTTTGTGTTCTAACCATAATGATTCACACTAAGATCTTGACAAGACATTTAAAAAACATCTACAACTCTTATATAAATACTCATATGTATGACTTTTTTTTAAGTACAGTTTAGCTTAAAATAAATATGAATTGCAAAAATGACTTGGACTTGACTTGAACTTAGGGGCCAGTGACTTGAGACTTGACTTGGACTTGCCTGTATTTGACCTGGGACTTGACTTGGACTTGAGGTGAAAGACTTGAGACTTACTTGAGACTTGCAAAACAAAGACTTGGTCCCACCTCTGATAGTAACATCACTCAGCATTACATTCCCTCATTACGTACAATAGCAGCACATTAAATTATCTCAAAAATTACATTACCTTATTACATTACATTACATTTATTATTGCTAATAACATGTCTTAGCAACACTTTATCACTTATCACATTATCTTATTACATAACAATAGATCAAAAGCAACCCAAAATAATTGAATTCAGTGTTGAGCGTGCGGCCCACAGTTTGAGAAACCCTGCTTTTTCTGTGTACGTACAGTAACTGTGTCCTGTTTAAAGGGGAGGTTTCCTAAAATCCACCTGGCTGTATTAATATTTTCAAAAGTCTAGAGTTTTGTGCTTTTTGTATAATTTGAATTAAAAGAATAGTGTATACTGGACTATAGGCTCATATAGCAGCACCGATGACTTTATTTCTCACAATATAGATGTCCACGGAGATGTGAAAATTATTTTATATTTTCAAATTCACTTTTTTAATTCACAAAATGTTAAAATGCACTGATGTGTTGATTTCACAGTGTAATAACCGTGCTTTTATTTCTCTAACACTTTGGATGTTTTTGTTTTAATAAAATCTGTTACAAAATGTGTCCTTATCCCTGTGTCTTATTATTATGAGCAGCAGTACAAGTAGTACTAGTAGTAGAAGTAGTAGTAGCAATAGTATGTCAGTATGTAGTAGTAGTAGTACTAGTAGTCAATATGTAGTAGTAGTAGTCAGTAGTAGTAGTAGTAGTAGTCAGTAAGTAGTAGTAGTAGTAGTAGTAGTAGTCAGTATGTAGTAGTAGTAGTAGTAGTAGTAGTAGTAGTAGTAGTAGTAGTAGTAGTAGTAGTAGTAGTAGTAGTAGTAGTAGTAGTAGTAGTAGTCAGTAGTAGTAGTAGTAGTAGTAGTAGTAGTCAGTATGTAGTAGTAGTAGTAGTCTGTCAGTAGTAGTAGTAGAAGTAGTAGTAGTAGTAGTAGTAGTCTGTCAGTATTTACTAGAAGTAGTAGTAGTAGTCGGTCAGTATGCAGTAGAAGTAGTAGTCTCAGTATATATTATTATTAGTAGTAGTAGTACTAGTAGTATGTCAGTATGTAGTTGTAGTAGTAATAGCAGTCTGTCAGTAAGTAGTAGTAGTAGTAGTAGTAGTAGTCTGTCAGTATGTAGAAGAAGTAGTAGTAGTAGTAGTCGGTCAGTATGTAGTAGAAGTAGTAGTCTCAGTATATATTATTATTATTAGTAGTAGTACTAGTACTATGTCAGTATGTAGTTGTAGTAGTAATAGCAGTCTGCCAGTATTTAGTAGTAGTAGTAGTAGTAGTAGTAGTAGTAGTAGTAGTAGTAGTAGTAATAGCAGTTACGTAGTTATAGTTAATTTCCCATGTTACTCAGTGTAGGCCTTGTAGAAGACTGCCGTCTGGTGGTTGAAGTTTGAACTACAGGACTCTAGAAACAAGTGAAATGTTAATTAAAGGTGAAACTACACAATAAATAAAAAGAAGAAAATGCAAATCAGTAAGTAAATAGTAATGTGGTACTACTACTGGATTTCAGATCATAACGAGACAAGAATATTTAATACCGATGGGGAAGGCAATGGCTGAGTGACGGCTCTGGAGACACAGGATCAGGTGTGATTGTAATAATCTCTTTTTAAAAAACAGAGAGCAGGCTGCGTACAGTTAAGTGGATTCTCTTCTAACACAATCTAATGATTTTGTTGCATCATCTGGTAGGGATGGATTATAAAAGTCATTTAGATAAGAGTGATGATGACATGATGAAATATAATCACATGGAGATGGGGTGTTTTTGAATCATCAGGACCAATTACATCACATGGATCAGTGTCCTCATAATGATAGAGCTCTTCACAAAACTCTGTTTGTACATAGAAAACCCGGCGTACATGGAACCAGAGAAGAAGAACAAGTTTATATAAAGGGAAAACTATAACAGAAACGGGGTTTGGAATGGAATACTGCAAATGTAAACAGGCCTTTGTATTGCACTTTTCCAACCTTCGAGGCACGAAAAGCTTTTTACATCAGCAGACACTGGGGACAAGATGTGTTAAGTGCCTTGCCCAAGGACACAACAACAGTATTGATCTGTACGATGAATGATAAACCGGGATATATATGTGTGTGTGTGTGTTTGAGTGTGTGTATGTATGTATATATACATATATATATATATATATATATAACTTTAAATACATGATCTCAGGATCAAGCACCTGATCAGGTGAGTTTGACGTCATGGCGTCACAGCTCTTCACTGATTGGCCGGTGTGAGGTCTGCAACTTTCAGAGTTCTTGCAAACCGTCTAGTGTATTCTGATTCCTGACCTAGTCACTGGAGAGAAATAAAACTGACACCAGCCTGGCTAAGTAAAGGTGTATGGAGTTTAAAAACACAGTGGAGCCCTCCCTGCATTACCTGTATTGCTTTTAGTTTGGAAGATCTCAGCCTAAATACGCAGGGTTTGTGTGTTAAAAATGTGTGAATGAAACAAAACACAACTCCAGGTCTGTTTTCGATGAGGAAACAACATTTTAACATAAGTCAGAAAAAAGGTGTAATACTGACCCTTTAATGTTCAGTTTCATTATGTTAACCAAAAAAAAAAATGATTAGAACGTAGATCCATGCTTTGTTACATTTTAGTCTTTTCATCATATAAACACAATAACCTTGATCTTCTTATTTTTTCCTCTGACGTGACAAATCTGGGGCTATAGTTACAACCAAACACAGTCCAGGATCAAACCCGAGGCGTCCTATTTGTGGAAAGTGGATTATTTAAACCTGAGCTGTGAAACGTCCTTGCTCAGGTCTGTCCAGGGGAGCAGACGTCATGGTTACGAGGAGGGGGGCTTTGTTTAATCCAGGATCTGATCTTCATGGGGGCGGACAGAACTATAAAACTCCAGTGGGTCCGGTCAGCAGTGAGTGAGTGAGAGGCCGAGATGGACTGTGTGCGACCCAGAGACGTGCTCCTGCTTCTGGGCATGATGTTTGTCTGCAGCGTGGAGACCTCCATGGCTGGTATGGATGAGAACATGAAGAGAGGGGCTACTCTTACTACTACTACTACTACTATTAGTACTACAACTACTCATACTGACACTGCTACCACTGCAGCTTCATTATAATTGATGTAGCTTCCTCCACTACTACTAGTGCTCCGTCTTCTACTATTACTACTGTTTACTACTACTTACTACTAGGACTTGTATCCCACTACTACAACCACTATTGCTGTTAAGCTTCACCTCCTCCTCCTCCTACTACTACTACTTACTACTAGGACTACTATACCACCACTGCAAATATAACAACTGCTACTACTATCACTACTACTAGTACTACTACTACTCATACTGACACTGCTACCACTGCTGCTACTGCATTTATTATAACTGTTGCAGCTTCCTCCACCACTACTTGTGCTCCTTGTTCTAGTACTAATACTACTACTACTACTACTACTACTACTACTACTACTACTACCACCACCACCACTATTACCAACTACTACCTACTACTACTTGCTACTACTATTACTACTATTACCACCACCACTACTACTACTACTACCACCACCTACCACTACTACTACTACTACTACTACCACCACCTACCAACTACTACTACTACTACTACTACTACTACCACCACCACTATTACCAACTACTACCTACTACTACTTGCTACTACTATTACTACTATTACCACCACCACTACTACTACTACTACCACCACCTACCACTACTACTACTACTACTACTACCACCACCACTATTACCAACTACTACCTACTACTACTTGCTACTACTATTACTACTACCACCTACCTCTACTACTACTACTACTACTACTACTACTACTACTACTACTACCACCACCACTATTACCACTACTACCTACTACTACTATTGCTCTTACCAGTACACGTCCTGGGATGATTGAGTCTGTGCTTCTTGCAGGTGGGTGTAGGGAGTGCTCTCTGCACAGATACCCTTTCCTCGCTGCCCCCGTGTACCAGTGCAGGGGCTGCTGTTACTCCAAAGCCTTCCCCACCCCTCACTCCACCCTCAGGACCATGGCCCAGCCCAAACCCATCACGTCCCAGGCGTGCTGCTGTGTGGCAAGCGACTCCCACGAGGTGAGAGCCAGATCCTCGTGGACATAGACTGTACATTTAAGTGGACACGGTGAACCTAACAGACTAACAGCTTTACGAACAGGAAGAATGAGAATGGTTTTAAAATGTTCGTTTTAACCATCTCTACATGATCCTGGGGTTTTTATATTACTATTTTATTTGGGTGCCTTCTTTCCCAGATGACTCCCACTACTGTTAGCATCAGGTTTGAGTACTGCACCCACGAAACTAAAGTACAATTTGGAAGGTGAACAGTGGCCTGTGCTCTTGTGTGTGGAGCTCTCCGTCGGTCCTTTCCTGCGGTCACCTCCGAGCCTGTCCCGACAGTGAGTCCTGGTTCAGTTCTGGCTTAGTCCTCCTCTTCAGTCCTGGAATCAGTCCTAGGTTAGTCTTGGGTTAGTCCTGGTTTAGTCTTGGTTCAGTCTGTGGCGTAAGCGTGGCAAAAGTTTCATATTATCTCAGGTTAACGGGTGGGTGCAAGCGGGTGCGGGTCTCCAAAAATGGACCTGTGCTCTGTGCGCTGTGGACTCTGCGCTGTAGGGCTCTGTTAAGGAATAAATTAATCTTTGGTTTGTTACATAAAGAAGGAGGAAAATAACATAAGGACGACAGCAGCAATAAGTTTTAAGAAGGATGCAAAAAGGGTTGTAACTGTCCTGTCTGAGAAAAGTGTATAAAGTGTGAGGTGAGGGGTTTTATAGCCTTAGAGCGTGTATCATGCCAGACCTCATGTAAAACCTCCAGAATTCCCTCTCTGAGCTGAAGAGGCTGCACTAGCACTGACTCATGGCTGCAGGTGCTGGGGTTTAGGTAGTGACCGTTCAGATCAGTAACAGTATTTTCCGTGTTTTACTGTTTTGGTTTTGTGCAGGTGGATGTCTGGGTGGGTGGATTCACTGCCAGAGTGAAGAATCAGACCTCCTGTCACTGTGGAATCTGCAAATATCAGAAACTGTCCAGCGGCTAGCCCCACACGTGTTCTCAAAGTCTGTCTGTCTCAAAGTCATCTCAGACCTGTGATTTTATGCACTCTTCTTACTTATTTATTTTAATTTAACATCATTGTTTTTGTTGAAGCTTTCACTGTTTCTGTTGTATGTGCCTGTATTTCCCATTACACCCTTCAATAGTTTGGTTACTGAAAACTCTTCTTTCTGTTACACACATTTTTGTCATAAAAACGGGCGTGTTAAAGGTGTATTGTGTAATTTTTCTGGAGGAGGGTCCGTCAAATGCAGATTTCATTGCTTTGTCAGTATGACATTAAAACTTTCTATCTTATATGATTCATTTTTGTAAGTATTTTTGAGCTATAAAACCACCCATAATTGAATAAATGTAAAGGTAGAGCTGTTTAATGTGGAACATTCAAGGCAGAGCAATAACATATCCATAGAAACAAGCACGTGACAGAGCCCCGACTAAAAAGTGACTGGTCTATCAAAACATAAACTTACACACTTTCCATTTGGATAAAAAACTTGCTTTAGTTTGTCAATTTTACGTGAAACTAGGCTACATGCAGTGTTCATAATAAAAATAAAAATATAATATCAGATTCCTAGCAACGATTGATACTTTGCAGTGATATCATGGTGAGGGTGTACTGCGTGTATGTCTACGGTGGCACGTTCAGCAGTTACCATGGTGACACAAGACACACATAAACCAAACATTAAAAGTCCTATATTATGCAAAATTGACTCTTGTGAGCTTTAAGTCATGTTAGAATGTTGTTATCTCCTCAAAAACAGACCGTATTTTTCAGACTTCACAGCAAAATCTGGAGGGTTAAAATTTTAGGGTAAAATATTTCAGAGTTGTTTTTAACACCAAAACTGTTATTTTAACTATTTGAAAGTTAAATGGGGGTTTGAGTTGGAGTTATTTGTCAGAGTTGATGTGATTGAGGTTAATTCAACTTCCTCTAGTGTTAATTCAACTTTTCTTAGTGTTAATTTGGCACCTCCCATTCACCACTTCAAACTCCTGTGAGAGAAGACCAGTTTGAACCAGTTTTGTTCATAATTTCATCTTAAATGAATTAAAATAAAGTAAAAATTAAACAAAACACCTCTGTGTGTTGTTTAGCTAAATCAGAATAACTCCACAAAGTGTTATCTGTTTACTCTCAAAACATTAATATAACTCTTGATTTCAGGGTTAAACAGGAACTTTGGTCCAGTGTTACTTAATTAACATTTCCAAAAATGTTAAATTAACTCTGGAACAGATTGGACTCATATAAACTCTGAGAAAATGTTAAAGTTGATTCTGTGAGAGTCAATTTTAACACTCTATTTTTTGCTGTGTTTTTGAGAGAAAATTTATTTGATTAAATCAGAGACCAGGAATCGACATTTCATCTTGAAAGGCAAGTTATAGTAATAATAATAGAAGAGAGAACAGAAGTTACGGTGCAATCGACTGACATGATCCCAGAGGACAGAGGCTCTTTCTGCAGGAGACATGTGCAGTAGAGCAAAGTGGCAGTGGTACAGGAGTAACAGGAGTACTAGACAAAGACGGAGGTTTGCATAGGGACGGTGGGGACATGTCACAACCGATATTTGGGGAAACCAAAATAGTCCCTACCAATATTTGCCATTTTATTTTAATAAACAAAAATATAAATTTATTCTGTTATTTTCCCAAACAATAGTATTAATTTAACATGTTTTAGTTCACATTTTGTTTATTAGACGTTCTGAGATGTATTCAGTGATATGACGACAGGGTTACACCTGCCGCTGTTTCATTGGCTGCAACAGAGTGATGTCATTAGTCGGCAGGTGAAGTGGCAGGACAGGGCCAGCACCTGAAGATGGCGGCTTAAGCAGTTGTGAGTGAAGACGCTGCCCATCAAACTTTGAAAAACTTTTCAAAAGGAACTTACTTGATTTCATCTTCAATTAAACTTGCCTTAAAATGAGTTGCCACAGAAAAAGAGTGACTGTCATCACAAGTGCACCTCCCAAACAGAGCCCTACTCGTGCAATGTAAGCAGCCGAACACTACTGACAATATTCCATGGAAAATTGTTTGGACATGACCTCACAAATATCTCATCACCAACAAGCAAAGGGAAATCTGCTACAAACTTCTACATCGCTGTTATCCGCTAAAGAATTATCTCAGAAGAACAATGGACACAAACTGTACATTTTTCCAACTGAAACATGAAACCACCTCTCACTTATTTTGGACCTGCCCAGACTCTGTGTATTTTTGGAAAGAATTCATAAAACATGTGGGGGAGGGGGGCCACCAAAGCTGTGATCAAACCTACGCCCTTGGTAATAGATACTGGCACACAAGTCTAGAGCGCCCTCTCGCGGCTGTCAGTGTGAAATAGGGATGGGCATTCGATGAAATTTTCTTAATCGATCGTCGGAAGAATTAACGATCGATTATCGATGAATAATTAACGTTATTATATTAAAATTATCATCATTATTATTACTATCTGCACTACTAATCTGCATAAATAAATTCAACTTTAAACCATAACGACTCTAGAGCCACATCAATCCGTTTGAGATTATAATGTGTTTAATTCAGTTTTGCGCAACTCTCACAGAAACAAAACTTAAAACAGCGTCGCTAATTTGCATAAACTCAGCGAAGATAAAACTACAGCTCTTGTGTCGCTGATGCGGTTCAATTTCTGTTGGATTAAAAGACATGATTCAGGTGAATACAGGTTAGTGTGACCATATTTGCGTTTGTCAAAACCAGGACACCGTACGGGGGGAGGGAGGTGGTTCCTCATCATCGACATTGCGCTACTCTCACCTGGTAAAGCTTTTTCCCACTGGACACAGAAACATATGTGCTGCTTTGTACACTGTGCACATGGACTCACACTTGTCCCGAACGCAAAGGAAAGCGTGGAATTTCTTGTACAAGTCATTGTTAAATACACTTTTGTGCTTCGGTACGCTGCAGACTGACAGAATGTTTGTGTTTGCTCGCAGAGAGACACATGTACGGACCCCTGTTTGGTCACGCTAAATACATTTGGTTTGTCGATTAAAATTAACGTAATCAATGAAATTCTTAATGATCAATTATCGATTAATCGATTAATCATCCCCATCCCCAGTGTGAAAGTCGCACCGGAGCATAAGTCTCAGGACCACCCAAACCATGAAAAACTTGTGACTTATACTCTAAAAAATACTGTACCTGGAGCTGTGTTTTGTTTCATTCACACGTTTGAATAATCCTTTATTATTAGTCAGTAGTTTTCAAGTTAACAGCTCCTTTTTGTTTAGTGGAAATTGGCAATTCCAGGGCTGAAATTATCCAAATGATTCTAGTGAAGGTGTGTAGAGTTTAAAAACACAGTGGAGCCCTTCGTGTATTACCACATGACATCACATGGTGGAACGGTTTTCTGTTTGAGAGGCTTGTGTGTTAAACATGTGTGAATGAAACAAAACACAACTCCAGGTCTGTTTGTGATGAGGAAACAACATTATAACATAGATCAGAACATAGTGTAATATTAGACACTGCTGAACATTCCACTATAGACATATATGTAGAACACCCCTAGCTTAATGTCACTGCAAAGCTTTCATGCAGTTTTAACAGCAGGGTTCTTACCTCAGTTGCCTGTATGACCAGCGGGGGGCGCCCTGGCCTCGCTGTTTGCCTGGTCTCTGGCTCTGTGCTCGGTGCAGTATTGAGTGGCCCCCTGATTATCACTGTGTCATTAGTTTTAGAGCACTTATCGAGCGGAGGGGCCGAGGGGCTGAGCTGCTCGGGGCTGGAGGAGTGAAGCAGATGGAAAAATAAACGAGAAGATGGAGAGAGAGAGTGAGAAAAAGAACTGTATGAACTCTGAATGGAGGACGGCGTTACAGGTTAGACTAGTCATTTCACTAGAACCAGTGTTGGGAAGGTGACTTTTAAAATGTATTCCCCTACAGATTACAGATTACATCCCCCAAAATGTAGTTTGTAACCGAATCCATTAAATTACTTAAAGTGAGTAACGTAATCTGAATACTTTGGATTTCTTGATTTGCTGTAGACGAGGAAATCTTCACATGAGATGTTTTGTCTGATAAAAGAAAATAGAAAAGTCCAGACTTTACTTAACCAAATAAAAAATATTATTCATAGAAGAGGAGGAAACACGGTCCTTTGTCGGTGCAGAACGTTTTGTCGAGGTTTTGTCGGGGAGAAAACTTACAGCAAACATACAGCACTTCCGAATCACACTGCTAGAGATCGAACATTTATGTAAATAATGTGGTATTATATAACTTAGAATGAGGGTTACTCATCTGTTTGTCCCCATGGAGACGCTATTGTCCTGCCTAAAATCATCTTCAAACTGATGTATTTTGCTTTTATTCAATTACAGAATATTTCTAAAGGATTCTTACTGTGACCAGGGTCTCCTCTCCACAGATCTGGCCTGTAAGTTAACCTATGTTGTGTGTAATACAGTAAAAGTAAAAAGCAAATGGTACAAATAATGTCTACGTATTTTGCTGTGTCATAGTTTGGTTTGCAGAACGATCCCAAAGAGAACAGTGTCGTGGTGCGGGGAGCGGCCACATTGATCAGGGCCTCTCATTAAGTGCGTCCAGCCGCTGGAGTATTGACTGCACTGAGAGGAAACAGATTGGTCCCAAACAGCCGCTGACACACAATCTGAGGCCCCGGGGAGCGCCCCAGACCCTCCCCGTCCTCGCACCAATCACAGCAGAAGTACAGCGTCACCATGGCGATCAGAAGCACATCCGAGTGCAGCACAGGAGTCGAAAAATGGCTGAATGAAAGTGTTAAAAGGTCATGTGTAGGTCATAAAGTATATAGGTGAGATAAGACTGGTTGAATATGGGAATTGTGCAACGATTTTAAACCTTCTAATTTGCATGGTAATACGTATCTTATTTAATTATTTTACACGTTTAAATAGATTATTTAAAAGCCATCTGGCTATAATTTAAGCCTAGATATTGTATTTCATAATGCATTTGTGTAACCATCTGTTCCAGGTTGATGTACATGGCGCTCTTAGGAACAATATTTTCACAGACCATTAAACAGCAGCATGTAGCCTATAACTTTGTACACAACTCACTGCACATCAGCCGGAGCAGAAGCACTGAGTTCAGCCAACAGCGGTAAAGACAAAGGAGCACTCAGCATGGCGTGCAGCCCCTCAAGACCGGCCTGGGGGTCCCGTCCTTGGTCTTGTGCCATCCTCCGAGCGGGTGGTTAGATAGATCCGGAGACTCCATCCTCCATGTCCTGGTTCCAGACGGAGCAAGACTAGTGCGCAGTTGACTGGGTCTGAGCGGTTCTGTGCCGTCCTCTGCACGCTGGACCCCTCCAGTGAAAGTGAGAATGTGCTGTGGACTACAGGTCCAGGCGGGTTGCTCCTGTGATCCATGCTCGAGGACAGCAGCTGGTTCTGAGGTGGTGCAAAGCGTCTGGACAGAAGTGCAAATCCGGTTTGGTTCATTATATGAAGCGTTCCGTCCTCCGTACGCTTGGTTCTTCCTGGGGAAAGCGCTTCTCAGGTCGACGCACCTATTGTCATTCCCCATGGAAATATTATTTATATACCTACCATAGTATTAAACTTATATGTCCGCTTGGACAAGCAGCTAAGACACCATTCCATTCCATTTCTTCTGCTTATCTGCTGCCAGGTTGCAGGAGCAACTGTCTAAGCAGGGACTCCCAGACTTCCTTCACCCCAGACACTTCCTCCAGCTCCTCCGGGGGGACCCCGAGGCATTCCCAGGCTGTCCTGGGTCTTCCCCGGGGCCTCCTTCCGGTGGGACATGCCTGGAACACCTCCCAAGGGAGGCGCCCAGGAGGCATCCGGAACAGCAGCTCTACTCCAAGCTCCCGTGTGACTGAGCTCCTCACCCTCATCCCTAAGGGAGCGCCCAGCCACCCTGCAGAGGAAACTCATTTTAGCTGCTGAGGGACCCTTCAGCAGAAAGGTTCCTGGACTTTCCGTTTTTCTGGGACAATAAAGCACTTTATAATTAGAAACATACAAAACACAGCAGACTTATTTTGACCTCAAGAACTGCTTTTACAAGATATCTGTGGTATCTGGTGCAAGACACATTTTGCTCAAATACAAAGACAAAACAAAAAAACAAAACAAAGAAAAAGGTACATTCCTTTTAACAAATGCAACAGAGCTTTTCATGCATCATACACGTCTGTCCTCTATAGCTCTAAACAGCCACATTAGTTCTTTATGAATCCTTATCTGGCCTACATCTCCCAGGTGGAGCCTCTCTATTGTCTGTGCGGTGATTGTGTTTGCTGCGTGGGCCCCCAGGAGCCCGGAGTCATCAGTATGCAGCATCCAGCCAGCTCCATGTGGTTCAGCAGAGGAGCGTGTGTGAAGAAGAGAAATCACAACCCAACACACAACAGGGACATTCAGAACCACATCTGTCACTGCACGTTTGCCTATGATCCATCACATCCATCTTATTTTAAAGACCTACTATGAATTATTCAGGATTTGTAAAGTACTTTGGATACCGTAACCTTGGTATTTTCTGTAGCATAATTTAAAGGGAGCATAAACATGTGAGATTCTTATTTTGTGCTTTTAAAGTTATTTTCATGATTAATACAAACAACTGATTCATTTTACTGACTGTTTTTTTGTTTGTTTGTTTTGTTTTGTTTCATTTTTGAGTGGCAGTCACATGACTTAATGTTTTGGCGGCCATACTGGGGGTCAAAGTTGGGGTTGATCCGGAAGGTGTTATTCAGTTACTACACTATAATCATGGCTACTTTAAAGAGCGCAAGCAACATAAAATTGTCTGAAATTGCCAGCTAGTTAGACCAGCCATCATCAGAAAGATATAATCAGGGTATCCCCAGGTTTGACTACCCCAAATTTAAGACTTTTTAAAGACCTTTTTGAGACCACTTAAATGAAAATTAAAACCAAGTTCACACCCATTATGTGGGTGAAAAACACCAGATCCAATTCTAATAATGACCATTACTCACTGCTTTAAATAAATAAAAAATACTTTTATTATAAAATCTCATTCACAACTCATTTATAGTAGTTTGCATTACTTGTAAAAAATCATTTATAACATTCAAAACAAGCTTAGTATTGTTTGCACATACTCCAAATTAGACGTTCTTTCATGTTACATGATTTCACGTTGTTTGTTTTTTCCCTCCCTCCGTTTAACATCGCACTGCAGCCTCGTTGAGTATACAACAAAATAGGCTAAAGAAATTTAAGACCTTTGTGGAAAAAAATAAGACTTGAACAACATAATTTAAGACTTTTAAGGCCTTAATTTAGGAACATGAAATGTAAAACCCTTTTAAGACTTAAGACCCCGAGGCTACCCTGATAATGCTAAAGTCATCCTCGTGGGTTGTGGAATTGATCCCTGATTCCGACGCTCGTTCTGTGCCCAACCTCCAATATCTAGATATTTATAACTGCTTAATTCATTTGATATCGAGATCTTTGTTGATCACCAAGCCATCACATCCAGAAATCAGAACTGTAGCTACCCCTGGGGGTGAAAATTCAGGGGGAAATTCCGCCGGCAAAACTGAGGACCTGGGAGGGGATTCCATAGCCTGATTCATCAACAGGTTTCACTTTGTTGAAACCGTCTGACCTCGCAGCATTAGAATTAGTTTGCTTGTTTGTAGATGGGTACTTTTTAAAAAATTTTACCAATCGCCGCTATTTGGTCGTGACGTATGTAATGCACCGCTAATGGGGATAATTGGTTTATTAAGGTTTTCACAAATTTAACATCTTTCTCCTTGATAAAATTCACCAAACATTCTCTTTGTTCCGGCTTTAAATCCTCAATCTTGGGAATTGTTGACAACACAGAATGTATGTCTCTTTGCTGACTGGCTGGTGCCCGAACTCGCATTTCCAGATTTTTTTAATTTTTTTTGTGTATTCTGAAAGTGTATTCTGTATTCCTGACCTAGTCACTGGAGAGAAATGAAAATGAGCGGAGGCACTAGGCCTGGCCAGGGATTCTGTGCCACCAAAAGTGAATAACGCACAGTGTGTTTTTCTTATTTTATCGCACACAAATACTACACATTGGTCCAGATAGATAGTTTGACCTCCAATATAGCGGCATAAACAACAGGTCACGTGCTTTTGTGATACAGATGCAAAACCTTAAAATGAGCAAATGATACATGCTCCAATATTACCACTTACAATTACCACTTGCAATATAACTACTGTTACTTTCAGTGATACTACTACTACAACACTGAAGTAAATAAATGTTAAATAAATGTTCATATTTATAATTTAATTTATATAATATAATTTATAACTGGATTTCAGCTTTGAATCTGGCAACCCGTATGAGAGACTCGTGTGAGACTCAATCTGTTTTCTGATTGGAGAATCAACTTTTCCATCATGTCCAATGTTTTTGTCATGAAATATAAATTGCTATTATAGTTGTTATCACTAAAAGCTATATTTGATTTGAACACGTCAAGCTCATATCTGGAAACAGATCAGGTCATGATTATGGAATTTAAAGGGCCCATACTGCGCTGTTTTCTGTTGTATACTCATCACAACTATACCCGGAGTTATATTTTGCTTCATTCACACAGGTTTAACACAGAAATTCTGCATATCTAATTTCTCCTCTGTGTTTTTAAACTCCACACACCTTCACTAGAATCATTTGGATCATTGCCCTTTTCTACTGACCAAAAGGTAAAAGGAGCTGTTAACTCAAAAACTAGACGACATCAGAAACTGGAACAAAGCATTTTGATCTTTGGAGATGTAGGCAGACTAAAAACGCAGGATTACTCAAACACAAAACACAACTCCAAGTATGTTTTTGTTGAAGTGACAGCATTAAAATATATATATATATAAAATCCTTTAGTATTCTTGTCTAAGTCCATGTTATTTCCTCTAGCATCTGTATTGGATCTACTGTAGTCTGACCTCTGCTGTGTATGACTCTCTGTATTGACTGGACATTTATCTCGTGTCCAGCGAGTCGAGTCTAAACACTGTATCAGCAAAGCAATAACGGCGGGGTGCGGACACCGGGGGCACCAGCAATTAGCATGGATTAATGACATTGATCAGGCCTTATCTCGTCTAGTTAGAATTCTCCTGTCCACGGTGTTATAGAGCCATACTGCCAATGTAAACATAAAGGTCCAATATTACACAAAACTGAGCTTTTAGTCATGTCGTAAAGCTGTTACCTCATCAAAAACACACCTGGAGTTGTTTTATTTCATTCACACGTTTGACTAATCCTCCATTTTTAATCTGTCTACATCTCCAAAGATGGAAATGCTCCGTTCCAACTTGTGATGTCATGAAGCAGTAATTTTCAAGATACCTTTTACCTTTTGTTATAGTTATTATGATGTAAAGTAAGAAGTAATGTTAGTTGAATATTGACAATGATCAATTATATTTAAATAAGGTCAAAATCCGATGGCTTTTGTAATTTAACCCCAAATATGTTTATTATAGTTATGTGTAAACTCTTAGATAAAGACAATTGCATAAGATGAAAATGTAACATGAAGATGTGTGTTAATATTTACGTGCCTACAACATGATGAGTAATGTACATATACTGTAGGTGTTAGTGATTTGATACACAAAACAGGGAGTCTGTATGTCCAAATAAAAAAAACAAATAAATAAAAAACAAATGTGTGATGTGTGAACATGTGTATGTTTTAAATCTGTTGAATAAATACGTCCTTTTATGTGTGTGTTGTTATTTATATAAGACAAACACAAACCCAACAGACTAATGATCGAAGCAACATGGCTAATAACTCAACATTATTAAATTCAAAGTCGTTATACTTACAAACTATTGCCTAAATTGACATTATGATTAAGGCTTATCTGAACATAGCAAACTAAACACCATAACAATGTAAAATACAATATAAAAAGTGCCAAATTGCTTTGTATATGCAATTTTTAACAATACATTACATTTACACCAAATACCAAGTCGTTATCCATCAAAACATTCCTTAAAATTCCTTAAAAGAAAGTGAATATGTAGCAATATATAATAAAAGTAAATTACATGAGAAATAATGATCATATAAGTAACTACTAAAAAAAAAGTAAGGGGAGTCAAAATCCTATAGGTGGGTCTCTTTACTCTAGCGTTATGTCAATATACTATGGGGGTCAAAATACTATGTCACACCGGCGTTTCGGGTGGGCGAAAAAGGTGTTTTTTGAAAACGTGTTCCACAGTGGAGAAATCTCAGAACGCCGGTGTTACATTGTCGTGTGGGCAAGCAAACCACAGTTTTTGGAAAACGAAGTTGCGACCCCGTCATCGGCACGTGACCAGAAGAGAACCCCGTGCAGGAAGAACTTTGTGGCATATGTATACGAGAAAACATAGTCTTCCAGGAGCGTTGTCGTGTGGACGTAGCATTAGTCTTCCTTCTACCCTCTAAAACAGCCACATGAAATATAAACTGGATGCTAATAACTCAAGTTCCAGTCAAAACTCCAGAAGTTTGCGTTTTCTCATGCACCTAGTCTATACCCCCCCGTTTAAAAAGTCGAGTGAGCATGTGATGGGAGGACTGAAGACACACAGACAGAGGAGTGCTCAGAGATGGAGCACTGGATCAGGTCTGCGGGGTGCTGAAACTGCCTAATATAAAACAGTGAAAGATGGGCAGCGAGTTGCTGAAAGAGACTTCAGGAGCCAGTTTAGTCTGATGCTCTGTAAGGTCAAGGTTGAGGCCCTGGTATTGGTGCTGCTCAGTCTCTCATGAGTCTCTGACCAGAAAACTGCCCCTCACTCGTGTTGCTGTGAAGCTAACATGGTGAATCGGCATCCTGCTTTTGATTTTCTGTGATTCAGCACAAACCAATGCTAAGAACCAACTAAAGTATCATTACAATTCATGTTAGTGACCAAACATTTGTTAAATTCTTAAGATACTGTTTACTACTAAAAATACTATTTTTGTTGTTTGTTTACTTACTTGTTTACTTTGTTACCACAGCTGCATTTAAGAATTTATAAAATAAAAAGGGTAAGCCTATTCTTTGTCATTTCTATTAAACAATAGTGTGGCAATAGTTGTCCACATATTTTAACACAACAAAACAAAAGCAACATAAACAGGAAGGCAACGTTTTCACCAATACAAAAATTGCTTCACAGGTATTATAAAATACAAGACACAATACATATTTTTCCACCAGTAACACTATTTTAACAAGGTGCATATGCCATTTAAGCAGGCTGGCAAAACTAAAAATAATAAAACTAATTTAAATAACTTTGCATTGAACTGTTCAGAACTTAATTTTTTTAAATCTTCATCTTCATCTTCATTTAATCTTCATCTTGAGGCTGAAAGGGCGGAGGATGAGCAGATTCTGATCTCGTGTGTTTGCAGGTGTTTGGAAAAAAAGGCTGAGTGCAGGACTGATGTGTATAGGCAATTGTTGAAGGGCAGTGGCTGACTTAAATCTTGGAGAAAGGACAGAGGCTGGGTCGAAGATGGAGCTGAAGCCATAGGAAACAGTGAAGACTGTTGAGAAGGAGGATGTCTTGGGTTGGACATCTCAGAGGATTGCATTGGTACCTGGTAGTGGGTTGGCCGTGGACCATGTCTTGATCTCTCCATGAACTGTGATAACATAATGTACATTTTGCGATCATGCTCATGCTGAGCTGCTTGCATTTCAACAGGTCGTTCTCTTCATTTTTGAAGGCCGTGGTGATCTTGTTGGCAAAGACCTCCAGAGTTGCCTCCATTTTAGATTTTCTTTTCCTGGTCTTTGCAGATGTAGCTAAAAAAGAAGAATAGATCAGTTGGACAACATTAAACTGAATGCCTTTTTGTGGTTAAGATTGTATTAGATATGGCGTCACAAAAAAATCTGTTAATATACACTTATAAATAACAGAAAGATAAGTTTTGACAGAGGGGAACCCTCAAGGCCTTCAAGGTATTCAGTGAAGGCCCAAGAACAAGTATTGAAAGAATTTTTGTACTACTAAAAAATAATATTTTTTCAATATTTTTTATTCAGTGAGTAATAAACACTACACTAGTAGTAATTTCTAGATCACTGTTATAAACTTGGATTAATATTTCTTGGAAAACGAAGGGTTAATATAATAAGACCCGGAGCCCGGAGCTCGCGGAGGCTCAGAGCCCACGGCCGGGTCCAGGTTCATGGTTCACCACTGGGTTTTGACCATTGTAAATGTAGGATTTTAAAAAGAAGACAAGTTCAACAATTCATCGTCAAGTGTTGCCAAGTATTTCTATATAAACATAAAATGTGGCCATGTTTTCAGGTAGAGGGTTGACTAAACATTTAGCTTAAGTTAATCTGACAAAAGATAACAGAGAATTCCTTACAGTTACTGGATGCAGATACACTGCTTTTTACAGATGTTATCTTCACTTTGAGTAGAAGTTCCATCAGTGGCAAAAGCAGGAAAGACTGATGCACGGGTCTCATCACCTGTGCATGCATTAAGCAAAACAATATGGTCATTCTTCAAAATTCAATATAATCACGTACCTCGGCCAGTGTGTAAATATCCCACCTGTATCACAGTTAGAGCTGCTAGCTGGGCTAGCTGCGGGACCTCGGCTCTTCTCGGGGCAGGGTTCCTCTTCAACAATGCGGCCATCCAGCAATTCTATCAGCTCAACGCTGGGCTTGTCTCCCAAAACACTGCCCAGTTCTTCGTAAAACGGACAGGTTACACGTCCATGGCCGCTTCATTTGAGTCTTTAGCCTCCTTGTATTTGGTTCGCAGGCTCTTAATTTTCCGCTGACACTGGAGCCAGGACCAACTGTAGCTGCGCTCGTACATTCCTTTGGCTATCATTTCAAAAAACGCCTGGTTCCGATAAGACCCCTCCAATTTGGCCTGAACACATCGATCCCCCCAAATATTAACTACCTCGTTACCCTGACTTTCCCTCCATTGGCTAGACTCCGAGCCTTCAGAGCCTGAAAATTCATTTACATTCGTCGTCCGCCATGGTTGTAGCTTTCTAACAGTTTCCACCTACTTCAGCGCAGAATAGTGACGTTTGTCGCTTGTTGATAATGTGTAGGTCTGATGAATGCACCTTGGCCGTTCAGACTGAAGTCGCATGTCAAAAGATCGGATATGTATCGGTTTTAGGAGCACATATCCAAGTGGCCTGGGTCACATTTGAAAAACTCAGATCTGTGTCGTTCAGACAGTCATTAAAAGATAAGATACAGGTCACATAGAGGCCAAAAAAATTGGGTCACTTCAGGCTGCAGTTTGAATGTAGCCTTAGTCAAGATTTGCTCCTCTGCCCAAATCCATCAAAATTATTACAAAATGGTAATTCTACAGTGGAAGCATTATTCGATGGATAAATTGTCCTGTCGATATGTGCTCCATTTAGTCAGAGCCATATTTGAGCAGAATACGACTGTCCAAATTAACTCCTCAGATTCAGATAAATGAGTTTGCAGTAGATTTGACATAAATGAGGTATAAAGTCTGATCACTGTGTGCAAACAGCATCAAACCCGCCGTCTCTAATCCAAAAAAATATGTTGGCAAACTGGGGAGGTCAGGGTCTAAACAGAAAAAACGTAAGTTCGCTCATTTCGACAGGGCAGCATGAATGGATAGACATCAGTGTTGGTTTAGGCTGCGGGAGCTCATTTTGACAGAATACCAGCCTCAGTAGCTCTTTGTCCTTTAGTGTGTTCAAGAGGGTGCACCTTCAGATGAGCAGGCTGTCTCAAAGTCTTCCCACACTGGTCGGAGCTGCAGCTTTTCTCTTCAATCTGTAAGTTTTGGACATGTTTCAGACGGTTCCTCACAGACCTGAAAGTCTTCCCCTCTTTCTTCACAGTCCTCTGGTTTGTCTCCTGTGCGCATTTGGTAGTGACTGGAGAGTTCCTGGGATGTTCTCAAAGCCTTTTCACACTGGTCACACTCATATAGTATCTGCCAGAAGTGAGTTCTCTTGTGTTTATTGAGATGGGATGGTTGGGATGGCTCTTATGTTTTTCTAGGTTGCTTGACTGTGTTAATGTCTTCTCACAAACATCACATCTGTATGGTCTTTCTCCTGTGTGGACTCTCATATATAATTTGAGGTCACCAGAGTCTATAAATTTCTACCTTCATTGGTCACACCTGTATGTTTTTTTTCCCCCGTGTGCTTTTGGTGGTGACTGAAGAGCTGCTGGGATGTTCTAAAAGCCTTTTCACACTGATCACACTCATATCGTATCTGCCAGGAGTGAGTTCTTTTGTGTCTATTGAAACTGGATTGTTGAGAGAAAGCTTTCCCACACTCGTCACACTTGTACGGCTTCTCTCCATTGTGGACTCTCATATGTTCTTCTAGCTTGCTTGACAGTGAAAATGTCTCCTCACACCGGTCACATTTGTATTTTTCTCCAGTGTGGATTTTCATATGTGCTACGAGAGTGCCTGACCGTGAAAATGTCTTCCCACACTGGTCACAGCTGTATGGTTTCTCTCCTGTGTGAATTCTCAAATGTCGTTTGAGGACACCAGACTCTGTAAATTTCTTTCCACACTGGTCACAGCTGTATGGTTTTTCTCCTGTGTGGATTCTCATATGTTTTTCTAGGTTGCTTGACAGTGAAAATGTCTTCTCACAAACATCACATCTGTATGGTCTTTCCCCTGTGTGGATTCTCCTATGTCGATGGACATCACAAGCCTTTCTAAATTCCTTCCCACACTGTTCACATTTAAATGGCTTCTCTCCAGTGTGGATTTTCATATGTGTTAGTAGGCTGCCTGGCCGTGTAAATGTCTTCTCACACTGGTCACAGCTGTATTTTTCCCCTGTGTGGATACTCATATGTGATACTAGAGTGCTTGATCGTGTAAATGTCTTCCCACAAACATCACAGCTGTATGGTTTCTCTCCTGTGTGGACTCTCATATGATCAATGAGTGCACCAGCGTATTTAAATCCCTTCCCACACTGTTCACAGCTGTACGGTCTTTCTCCTGTGTGGACTCTCATATGTGTTTCTAGATTGTGTGACAATGAAAATGTTTTCTCACAAATATCACAGCTGTATGGTCTTTCTCCTGTGTGGATTCTCATATGTGATACTAGAGCGCCTGACTGTGAAAATGTCTTCTCACAAAAATCACAGCTGTATGGTTTCTCTCCTGTATGGATTCTCATATGAACATTGAGCGCACCAGAGTGTTTAAATCCCTTCCCACACTCGTCACAGCTGTATGGTCTTTCCCCTATGTGGACTCTCATATGTACTTCTAGGTTGCTTGACCGTGTGAATGTCTTCTCACAAACATCACAACTGTATGGTCTTTCCCCTGAGTGGATTCTCATATGTTCTTCTAGATGGCCTGACCGGGAAAATGTCTTCTCACACTGGTCACAGCTGTATGGTCTTTCTCCTGTGTGAGTTCTGTAGTGTTCTTTTAGTTTGGAAGCTTTTGTCCACTCCTTTCCACACTGGTCACATGTGAAGGCCATTCTGTTGATGGATCTTGTAGCTCTGCACTAGGACAAAGGAAAGGAAACGTCAAGTAAAATCACGTTTAACTGTTCAAATAAAGTGACTCTAGCTAAATATACATAAAAATCACACATAATAAATCATATGTAAGAATGTTTCAATCTGTGTTTTATGAGCAAGTTCCATTTGGCTGAATGAATCAACTAAGTTTGTATCTGATTTTGAAGGCACACTTTTTCTGTCTGTAGCAAAAGAAGATCAGATTAAAGGGAAAAAATACAGAGATACTGAACAACCTTGTTGCTCTGAATTCTAATCTACATGTTCAGCAGATATGATATATGTCACACATGTGATGACAGAAGCCAGGGCTTTGGTGGAACAGAGCAATTTTAATTCTGTAAGGACAGAAAAACAGCTCTGCTGAGACATCAGGACTGACCATTAACAACAGTTTACACTGAAGCTGCTTCTGCTGCATCCATAGACCGTATATATGAGTGAACAAAGGTAATGCGCTAACCGCCGCGTGCCAAATAGGAAGTGCTGCAGGAGGCTCTTCCGGCTCCTTCTGACTCTGGCTCCTATTGACTTACATTAGGATCTTGTCACTGCAGTGCTGCTGTCATCATTTTGGTCTAAAAATTTTGGTATTAACTCGCTCTACATGATCCTGTTTTTTTTTTCCCCGCTATTTTGTCCGTCACAAAAATCCTATTCATTACAGAGCCTGGCTCCACATTCGCTCCTGTAAGTGTGAGCATCTTGAGCTTCATTTGAGCACTTAATCCACTTCTTTTATAAAGTTTATGGCTGCGCCGAGAGCTCAGTCTGCCTTAACTGTGCCATTACCCACACCTACTGGAGGCATTTGGTATTGCAGCTGTACCTGAACCATTCGATGTGAATAAGTGCCACACAGAAATGAATCAATATATAGTCAAAACATTACAACATTTAATGTAGTATTGGGGGGGTGCATTTTCATAAGAATATTTCCAGGGTGCCACAACCTCTCCAAGCCAGGCTGGCGCCACCAATTTCATTTCTCAGTGAATGACTTCAGTAGAGATCAAAATACTCAAACAGATGATCAGATGAATAATTAAAGTAGCGCATCAAATCAAAAACAGTCGTAGCTTCGTCAGCTTCATATTCAATGAAGAAAAACAAAATGGTAGCCTATAGCTTATTTAGCGTTCGCTCAAAAAGTTGCCAAAACGGACAAAATTCAAAAGGGAAAATAATGATTGAATGACGGCTTCTAGTAAACTAGGTTGTTATCTACAATTCGGCGTGAATGTAAACTTAAAAGCGTTCAATATTTAATAAGTATAATCGGTGTTTCCAAAACTCCAAGCGCGAGTAAACAGCGCTAATATACACGGGGGTTTTGAATGGGAGCGGAGCGGCGCTAACAAACAAGATGCTAAATGCTATTTAGCAACAGAAATACGAGCGCTAATCACAAAAAATAGTTCACCGATTGCTGCTCAACAACTCACCGCTGAGGAAGAGACAGTTTGGAATCCGAAAAATCCACCAATTTACAAGTTTGTCCCCCCACCGAGTGGAGGATGAACCACAGTGAGAAGAGGAGGAGACAGAGAAGTGACCTCCTCTTCCGCCTCCTTCTTCTTCTTCTTGTGAGGTTTGTAGCTACAGGTGCATTACCGCCACCAACTGATAAGGAGTGTGAACTGAAATGCGACTTGGTTTTTATTTTTTATTTATGTATGTATTTATTTTGGGCAAGTAAAGATTGACATTCATATACAATGGAACATATAACATAACTGAAATCATAATAAAAATGAAAATAACAACAACAAAAATTGCCCAAAAAAGAGTGGGAAGAAGAAAACTTATTGAAACCCACCTCTGCTGTTCATAATCTAACAGAATGAGCTATCTTTGCATTTTTCAGACATTTTGAATTAAATTATATGAACTATTTACAAGTGCAGACAAAGAGTCGCTGTTATAGCTTGGTAGTGTAACATAAACATACCAACAATGGTAGAGTTAAGGATACACACAATAGTAAGAAACAACAGATACAAGTAATGTAACAAACAGCACAAACCAGCAATAGTAAAAAAAAACAACAAACATAAACCAGCGCTACAGAAGGAAGTATTGTCCTAATATTATGACCCACTCTCCATATACTGTGACCAGACCATATGTTTATATAACAGTTTGAATTTATGGATATTTTGGCATTGCTTGAGACATGTATTCAGACTGTTCCAGAGTTTTACACCACATATAGACGCACAGAAACTTTTACAGGTAGTTCGAACTTCGAACATTAAGCAATTTGAAACGTCCATACCCTCTAAAATGATAAATTCTCTCTCTCATTTTGAACAAGCTTTGAATATTACGTGGTAGTAAATTGTTGCATGCTCTGAATAAAATTACTAGTGTACAATACTGTACAAGGTCTGGAATCTTCAGGAGCTTGGATTGAATAAAAAGATTATGGGTGTGTTCTAAAAAAAAACAACTTTATGGATGATTCACAAAGCTCGTTTCTGTAATATAATCAATGGATGGAGTGCACATTGGTAAGTGTTCCCCCACACTTCAACACAGTATGTGAAATAAGGGAGAACCAACGAACAGTAGAATGTACGAAGGGAATTTTGATCAAGGTAAGTAAGTTTTTATTTATATAGCGCTTTCACAGACATTTTCTGTCCCCAAAGACGCTTTACAGAGCATTATTCAGCATTATTCATTCAGCATTCATTCATACAGCATTATTCATTCACTCTATACCCTGGTGATGGTGAGCTACTATTGTAGTAGTGTGTAGTTGTAGTGTATTTGTGTCTGTTTTGGTAGTAGCACATGTTCTTGTTAGCCTGTGCTGCTAACGTACTTCATAACACTGTCAAACATTTCTTGTGAAAGTCACATACCATTTATTGTCACTTTGCTATGATTTTGGTGCAGATTATTAGAACTAAAAGACATAGTGTATTTGTAATGCACCTTAAAGCTATTTTGTGTTATTTTAAAGTTGTATTCACTGTGCACTCTAAAAAAAATAGAACAAGTACAGTTAAGCTATTTTATTTAGGTTTATTCATGTTGTAATTTTGTACTTGTGAATATTTTGAACATTATTGTTGTACAACATATTGTTTTGAGAAGAATGTAAACCAAAAGAACGTAGCAAGACTAGTATAGTAACAGTGCCTTATTTTAAGCTACTTTATTCTGGCCTTATCTTTAGGTCAGGTTTCTTGTTCGGATCAGAGTTGAGAACTACAGACGTGGAGATGAGAAAGGTTCATCTTCCAATACTGGATGATGAGCCCCACCCCAAAGAGTCGAACAAACTGGTAGCTTGTAGCCCGACTGGCTACGAAGGACGACAATACCCAGGTATAATTTTACTGCCTACTTAAACAGTTCACTCCACTGCAGTTTAGTGGAGGAGCCATCTCCTGTTGTGGGTGACCTCCTCTGGTTCCTGATAATGTAAATAATATCAATGGAGTGTTGATGTAATGTCTACAGATAAAATATATAAGAAAACTGGTTCAGAAGCAAAACACTTGTCATTGTAACATGGGGAACGCTGCTGTCTGCATCTCTTTTACTCCTCGACTGCGCATGCAGCTTGTCTGTGACATTGCCCACAAATCCATCCATACTCCGAAAAATATGGTAAATAAAATTAAATTGCAAGAACTGTCCAGTCTTCAATGTCCCCAGTAGGGCTGGGTGTCATTAAGAAGTTGCCAATAGGAAACATATTTTAAAACTGCACTTTGATTCGATATGATACATTTCAAATACATCTGATATGGTTCAGTAAAAAAAAAAGGCTAAATCATGGTTCTGATACTAAAAGTCTTTATTAAACCACTTCTTGTGCAAAGTTAATATGAAACACAAATCTTCAAAACAGTGAATATTTCAAATGTTTTGCATAAACAAGATTCCTTCCTCTAAACAAGCAACAAAATTGTAGAGCTGTGACAAAATACTTTAGTAAAATATACCAAAAATTTGTCTTGGCGATACGATACAGCAGCCCATGATATTCATACTGTATCATCACATTAAATAATATCGATATCGATATTTCTGCAGACCCCTAGTCCCCAGTATCACAAAGGTGAGGTGTGCACCCTCTAGTAGTGCATTATTTGCCACAAGACTTAGTCAAGATTTGCTCCTCTGCCCAAATTCATCTAAATTATTACATAATGGCGATTCTACAGTGGGAGCACTATTCGATGGATAAATTGTCCTGTCAATATGTGCTCCCTTTAGTTGGAGCCCTATTTGAGCAGAATACGACTGTCCAAATGAACTACGCAGATTTAGATAAATGAGTTTAGATTTGACATAACTGAGGTATAAAGTCTGATCACAGTGTGCAAACAGCATCAAACCTGCCGTTTCTAATCTAAAGAAATATGTTGTCAAACTGGGGAGGTCAGGGTCTATACAACAGTAAACAGAAAAATGTAAGGTCGCTCATTTTGACAGAGCAACATGAATGGATAGACATCACTGTTGGTTTAGGCTGCGGGAGCTCATTTTGACAGAATACCGGCCTCAGCAGCTCTTTGTCCTTTAGTGTGTTCAAGAGGGTGCACCTTCAGATGAGCAGGTTGTCTCAACGTCATCCCACACTGGTTGGAGCTGCAGCTTTTCTCTTCAATCTGTAAGATTTGGACATGTTTCAGACAGTTCCTCATAGACCTGAAACCCTTCCCCTCTTTCTTTACAGTCGTCTGGTTTGTCACCTGTGTGTGTTCGGTGGTGACTGGAGAGTTCCTCGGACGTTTTAAAAGCCTTTTCACACTGGTCACACTCATATAGTATCTGCCAGAAGTGAGTTCTTTTGTGTTTATTGAGATGGGATGGTTGTGAGAATTCTTTCCCACACTCATCACACTCGTATGGTTTCTCTCCAGTGTGGACTCTCATATGTTTTTTTAGGTTGCTTGACTGTGAAAATGCCTTCTCACAAACAACACATCTGTATGGTTTTTCCCCTGTGTGGATTCTCCTATGTTGATGGAGATCACGAGACTCTCTAAATTCCTTCTCACAATGTTCACATTTAAATGGTTTCTCTCCAGTGTGGATTCTCATATGTGCTTGTAGGTGGCTTGACTGTGTAAACGCCTTCTCACAAACAAAACAGCTGTATGGTTTTTCCCCTGTGTGGATTCTCATATGTCGTTTGAGGTCACCAGACTCTATACATTTCTTCCCACACTGGTCACAGCTGTATGGTTTCTCTCCAGTGTGGATTCTCATATGTGCTTCTAGGTTGCTTGACCATGCAAATGTCTTCTCACAAACATCACATCTGTATGATTTTTCTCCTGTGTGGATTCTCATATGTCGATGGAGATCGCGAGACTGTCTAAATTCCTTCCCACACTGTTCACATTTAAATGGCTTCTCTCCTGTGTGGATTCTCATGTGTCTTACTAGAGTGCTTGACCGTGAAAATGTCTTCTCACAAACATCACAGCTGTATGGTTTTTCTCCTGTGTGGACTCTCATATGGTCAATGAGTGCACCAGAGTGTTTAAATCCCTTCTCACACTGGTCACAGCTGTATGGTCTTTCTCCTGTGTGAGTTCTGTAGTGTTTTTTCAGTATGGAAGCTTTTGCCCACCCCTTTCCACACTGGTCACATGTGAAGGCCATTGTGTTGGTGGATCTTGTAGCTCTGCATTAGGACAAAGGAAAGGAAATGTCAAGTAAAATCACTTTAACTGTTCAAATAAAGTAACTAACTAAATACACATAAAAATGACACATAGTAAATCATATGTAAGAATGTTTCAATGTGTGTTTTACAAGCAAGTTCCATTTGGCTGAATTAATCAACTAAGTTTGCATTTGATTTTAAAGGCACACTTTCTCTGTCTGTAGCAAAAGAAGATCAAATTAAGGGAACATTTACAGAGATACTGAACAACTTTGCTGCTCTGAATCCACATGTTCAGCAGATATGATATATGTAACACATGTGACGACAGAAGCCAGGGCTTTGGTGGAACAGAGCAACTTTAATTCTGTAAGGACAGAAAAACAGCTCTGCTGAATCATCGGGACTGACCGTTAACAACAGTTTACACTGAAGCTGCTTCTGCTGCGCCCATAGACTGTATTTATGAATGGACATAGCTAACGCACTAACTCTTTATGTTGCAATAACAGGGATACTGCGTATACATGCACCATGATGAAACCGGGATACAGATGTGCATGTGAACGCACTCACTGAGTGGTACAGTAATCTCTAATGAGGTGCCCGTCAGACGCAGCTTCGTATCTACGCACAAAAACCTACATTAGGTTTGTTGATTAGAAATGAATGTATGCGTCGAAATTAATGATAATTATTGATTAGTCGACTAATCGTGCCCATCCCTAATAGAAATAACCACATTTTTTCTCGAGTTAAATAAACAAGTTCACTTTTTTTATCCTACCACATAGGTAGATAACATATTTACAAATGCAGAACAAATACACTTTATCAAAATATAACTTTGTAAATTAATGTTATCTATCGTATTTAATTTTCATCCTGCACTCAAGTGACTATTAAACACAGTCATCGATCAATAATTCATTCATTAATTTAAAAGGGAAGTGCACTTTCTCATATCTCAAAAGTACTCAATTGTACTCAGTAAATGACTTAAGTAGAGATCAAAATACTCAGATGATCACATGAATAATTAAAGTTGCGCAACAAATTAAAAATTGTTTTTGTTTTTGTCCTTCATATTCAATGAAGAAAAACAAAATAGAAACCTATAGCATATTTAGCGTTCGCTCAAAAAATTTGCCAAAACGGACAAAATTGAAAAGCGAAAATAATGAATGAATAAATGAATGAATATTTCTAGTAAACTAGATTATTATCTATAATTCGGCGTGAATATAAACTTCAAAAGCGTTCAATATTTAATAAGTATAATCGGTGTTTCCAAAACTCCAAGCGCAAGTAAACAGCGCTAATATACACGGGGGTTTTGAATGGGAGCGGAGCGGCGCTAACAAACAAGACGCTAAGTGCTATTTAGTAACAGAAATACGAGCGCTAATCACAAAAAATAGTTCACCGATTGCTGCTCAACAACTCACCGCTGAGGAAAAGACAGTTTGGAATCCGAAAAATCCACCAATTCACAGGTTTGTCCGTCACGCCTAGTGGAACATGAACCACAGTGAGAAGAGGAGGAGGAGACAGAGAAGTGACCTCCTCCTCTTTCTCCTCCTTCTTCTTCTTCTTGTAGAGTTTTATGGCAGGTGGCATCCTGTCTCCACCTACTGGTTTTATAGTTCTCAGTGCACATTATACACAGTGATAAGTGTGAAGTAAAGCCATGTCCATTTAGTGTCTCCTTATTTTTCAACTAAAATGTTATAAAATATCCACACCCAGTGTCAAGTCCCAACCATCAACTTTCTACCCTAACTTCTCCTTCAGCGTAGCTTCCAAATCGTCCCCTGTGATATTTCCCACATCCACAATCCTCTGTGCTGCATCCAGGATCGTGACCATACGGTTGGACTTTTACTTCACCTCCAATGCACAGTTAACAATGAAAGCTGTGAATGCCAGGAAACATTTTTTTATCCACACACAAAAGTCTATTGTTACATGAACTGGTTGCTTGTAGCCCAACTGGCTATGAAGGACTACTATACCTGAGTATGATTTTACTGCCTACTTAAACAGTTCACTCCACTGCAGTTTAGTGGAGGAGCCGTCTCCTGTTGTGAGTGACCTCCTCTGGTTCCTGCGTGTAGTTAGCCAATCTTAGAAAGATTACATAAAATATATTGAAAAAAATCCCAAGCCATCCAAAACCTAATGATAATTTAAGTAACAAGCCACATGGTTAAACTACTTCTAATGAAGGTGCCAAGACTCCACCAGAAGGATGTGCTCTACTCTACTGTTATCCACTCCAGACGTTTGATTGATTGATTGCATTTATATAGCACCTTTCAAGATACCCAGAGCGCTTTACAGTTTATTACTCAGTCACTCCACACTCAGTGGTGGTAAGCTACTATTGCAGCCACAGCTGCCCTGGGGCTGACTGACATTTATTTGTTTGTAATATTTATCTTTGTTAAATTCATCTCAGTATTTTACAGGAGGAGCTGGATGCTGAAAGCCCAGAGCTCGTCCCCTTTGTGTTTTGTGTGAGCAGCAGGACGGTCTGGCAGGTCAAAAGGTGGAGACCATAGACTGTATAGAATGGACATGGCTTTTTTTTTACCTCACAGTTGAAGAGGAGCCAGTGATGCTTCATGGTCAAGAGGAAGAAGATGTCCATGAGCCCATGGTCACAACAACAGTCAGAAGAAAAAAACGGCTCAATAGCAACTTTGGAAACTTAAGGGCTGATTATTACAAGTCTCTTTGATCAAATTAAGAGTTATGGAGCAGAAATAGCTTAAAATGCGATAAAATTATCCATAAGTCCCCCTTTTGGACATTAAATGTAGCCCATTTCTTTTTCTTTTCAAAATTCAACTGAACCAGCAATTTTGTAAGAACTAAAGTCAATAAAAATGATTACAACAAGATTAGAAATTATACAAAACATGTTTTAACAATTCACCCTACATGAAAATCGTAACAAGGCGACCCAAAAAAAATCTCTTGCGACCCATCTGAGGGTCGCGACCCAGTCTTTGGGAAACAATGCTCTAATAACAATAAGGTTGAGGTCCTGGTATTGGTGCTGCTCAGTCTCTCATCAGACACTGAGCAGAAAACTGCCCCTCACGCGTGTTGTTGTGAAGCTCACATGATGAGTCGGCATTCTGCTTTTGATTTTCTGTGATTCAGCACAAACCAATGCTAAGAACCACCTAAAGTGTCATTACAATTCATGTTAGTGACCAAACATTTGTTAAATTCTTAAGATACTGAAGTGCTGTGTACTGAGAGCCACAGAAGCCTGGAAACCCCGGAGCCTTTGTGAGCACGTGCTGCACTGGGGTCTTATACACAATGTACTGCGCTAGCTTAGCATGCTAATCGGCACTAGCTCGTATGCAAACCTACGCCAGCCTACTTGCCCTGAAAATGCCCTTTTTAGAGGTGAAAACGATTAGCTGTGGGTTATTCTACTAAATCCCTAATGTATCCCTCTTTTGCGCCTCGACTGCTCGTGCAGCTTGTCTGTGACATCGCTAGGGTTGCCAAGCTCCCTGAAAAAGTAAATAAGGGACACCTCATTGGCAGGGCCGGTGTACTGTCGATTTGAACTACCCGTCGTTTTGAGCTACATAGCAATACTGCGCATGCGCACACCTCCCAAGTGCTGTTCCAGTGTAAATGCCATCGATTTGAACTTCCCAGGCAGAAGTGGAGTAACAAGTCACATATTATTAAAAGTGTATTGGTTTTATTGTATGTTTTGACCAGTTAAGCATGTAAGCATGTGCGTGTTAGATTTGTGGCAGAATACCTACGTTAAGCTGCAGGTAGCTCATTATCGACAGGGCAGCCCATGTCAACAGAACACTGTAAAGCACTGTCGGCACCACTGTCGTCCATGCTGCTTTGTTACAGAGGGGAACCCTCAGGGTCTTCAAGGTTTTCAGTGAAGGCTCAAGAAAAAATATTGAATACATTTTTGTACTACTAATATATTTTTTCAATATTTTTTATTCAGTGAGTAATAAACACTACACTAGTAATAATTTCTAGATCATTGTTATAAACTTGGACTGATATTTCTTGGGAAACAAAGGTTTAATATAATGGATTAAAAATGGACCAATCACAATTTTTTTCCCAATGGTATCTGGGTAAATCAGTGACCCCCCCCCCAAAAAAAAATGCACTAGACGCCTATATTTGGACACTTCGGAGACATTTGAAAGAGAGGGAGAAAAAGACCTGAGAACCAGAGTTCGGAGCTCACGGAGGCCCGGATCCCGCAGGCAAGACAGAGCTCAGAGCCAAGCAACCTCGACCAATGAGATGATGAGCGGGGTGTGCGTGCTGTCAGCTCATATGTCACAGAGCAGGAGAGGCTGAAAATACCTTTACTGTAAATTTTCTTATAAAGCACCATTCCATTGTTTACACACTATTTCTGATTCTTGTGGTAATACAGGCCAAGTGCAGCATTTTCAATTCAATATGGGATGCGTACTTTTGTTTCCGAATGTGGGACGATTCCATTTTTCAAGGGACAGTTGGCAACCCTAGACAATGCCCACAAGTCAATCCATACTCTGAAAAATACGGTAAATAAAATTTTATTTCAGGAATTGTCCAGTCTTCAGTATCTCCAGTAGGGCTGGGTGTCATTTAAAAGTTGCCACTAGGAAACTTATTTTGATACAGTGCACTTTTAATTTGATATAATATATTTCAAATAGATTTGATACAGTTCAATAAAAAATAATGGCTAAATCATGGCTGTGATACTAAAAGTCTTTATTAAACTGCTTCTTGTGCAAAGTTAATATGAAACACAAATCCTCAAAATAGTGAATATGTCAAATGTTTTGCATAAACAAGATTCCTTTCTCTAAACAAGCAACAAAACTGTAGAGCTGTAACAAAATAATTTTGTAAAATATACCAAAAATTTGTCTTGGAGAGACATCGATACATTATGAATATCGTGGGCTGCTGTATCATCACATTAAACGATACAATATTTCAATATTTCTGCACACCCCTAGTCCCCATTATCACAAAAGTGAGGTGTGTGCCCTCTAGTGGTTCATTATTTGGCACAAGACTTAGTCAAGATTTGCTCCTCTGCCTAAATTCATCTAAATTATTACATAATGGTGAAAACCATAAGGTCGCTCATTTCAACAGGAGAGCATGAATGGATAGAAATTACTGTTGGTTTAGGCAGCGGGAGCTCATTTTGACAGAATACCGGCCTCAATAGCTCTTTGTCCTTCAGTGTGTTCAAGAGGGTGCACCTTCAGATGAGCAGGTTGTCTCAAAGTCATCCCACACTGGTCAGAGCTGCAGCTTTTCTCTTCAGTCTGTAAGATTTGGACACGTTTCAGACGGTTCCTCACAGACCTGAAAGGCTTCCCCTCTTTCTTCACAGTCATCTGTTTTTTTCTCCTGTGTGCATTCGGTGGTGACTGGAGAGTTCCTGGGATGTTCTAAAAGCCTTTTTACACTGGTCACACTCATACAGTATCTGCCAGAAGTGAGTTCTCTTGTGTCTATTGAAACTGGATTGTTGAGAGAAAGCTTTCCCACACTCATCACACTGGTACGGCTTCTCTCCAATGTGGATTCCCTTATGTGCTTTTAGGCTGCTTGACTGTGAAAATGTCTTCTCACAAACATCACAGTTGTATGCTTTTTCCTGTGTGCATTTGGTGGTGACTGGAGAGTTCCTGGGATGTTTTAAAAGCCTTTTCACATTGGTCACACTCATAGAGTATCTGCCAGAAGTGAGTTCTCTTGTGCCTATTGAGATAGGGTTGTAGAGGGAAAGCTTTCCCACATTCGTCACACTCATACGGCTTCTCTCCAGTGTGGATTTTCTTATGTGCTTTTAGGTTGCTTAACTGTGAAAACGTCTTCTCACAAACATCACAGCTGTATGGTCTTTCCCCTGTGTGGATTCTCATATGTGATACTAGAGTGCCTGACCGTGAAAATGTCTTCTCACAAACACCACAGCTGTATGGTTTCTCTCCTATGTGGATTTTCTTATGTGCTTCTAGGCTGCGTGACTGTGAAAATGTCTTTTCACAAACATCACATCTGTATGGTCTTTCCCCTGTGTGGATTCTCCTATGTCGATGGAGATCACCAGAGTGTTTAAATACCTTCTCACACTGGTCACAGCTGTATGGTCTTTCTCCTGTGTGAGTTCTGTAGTGTTCTTTTAGTTTGGAAGCTTTTGCCCACTCCTTTCCACACTGGTCACATGTGAAGGTCATTCTGTTTGTGGATCTTGTAGCTCTGCATTAGGACAAAGGAAAGAAAATGTCAAGTAAAATCACTTTAACTGTTCAAATAAAGTAACTAACTAAATACACATAAAAATCACACATAGTAAATCATATGCAAGAATGTTTCAATGTGTGTTTTATGAGCAAGTTCCATTTGGCTGAATGAATCAACTAAGTTTGTATTTGATTTTAAAGGCACACTTTTTCTGTAGCAAAAGAAGATCAAATTAAGGGAACATATACAGAGATACTGAACAAATTTTTTGCTCTGAATTCTAATCCACATGTTCAGCAGATATGATATATGTAACACACGTGAAGACAGAAGCCAGAGCTTTGGTAGAACACAGCAACTGACTGTAAACAACAGTTTACACTGAAGCTGCTTCTCCTGCTCCTCCTCCATAGACTGTATAAATTAGTGGACATAGGGTCAATCCATATGAAATTAGCCACCCTACCCTATGAGCCATCTCAGATTTGACTTAAAAATGTTCAAAACATTTCTAAAATGACCAAATGAAAGAATCTAAAATGTTAGCTCAATCCCTAGATAGATACATAGATAGATAGAGATACACACACATATGTATTAGAGCCCGACCGATATGAATTTTGTTGTGGCCGATATGAAACTGATATAATGGGAGTTGGAGCTGCCGATAGCCGATATAATCGCCAATAATGATGTAAAAAAAAGTGATGTAAAAATTCACTGTAAATGTTGAATTGTTTAAAAAACTTAGGTTTGGCTCTGGTGGATTTTAAATTGGGTTTATTTCGGCAACATTTATTGTTATTCTGCCTCTTTACATCATATTTACATACAGTAGATTGGCTTAACGGCATTTTTACATCACATTCTAGACACTAGTGATGGGTATTCCAGTTCTTTTTAGAGAACCAGCTCTTTTGGCTCGGTTCACTAAAAGCTGCTGGTTCTTTTGGTTCCCAAGCGGCTCTTCAGATTGTTTTGTTGCAAGCAGGACTAAAGCACGTCTAAAGCAGGACTGAATCAGGACTGAACCAGGTCTAAACCAGGACTGAAAAAGGACTAAACCAGTACTAAAACAGATCTAGACCACGTGTAAAACAGGACTAAATCAAAACTGAACTGTTTATGTGCGGGAGCTACAGCAGCTAACCCATAACAAATGACCAAAACTAGCGTCAAAGTTAACATATTTCCAACACTCACCGCTCATACAGGCTCCTCCTCACATCACAAGTCTGAACTAATAAATGTCCTTTTAATCCAGGCTCAAACCGATTGTCTGTAAAAAGAATATAATCTCAATGTTTGGATCTATGTCTGCGAGTGTAAACAAACACACATGACTGACTCGACTCTGTGGTGTGTTCAGGGACAGTACGACACACACACAGACAAATGACTCCGCAGATAAATACGATGTGGAGCCACATATGAGGACATTTATCTGTCTGTAAATTGGATTAAATGAACAGAATGTAGAGTATGTAAGATTTTTAACGACGTATCACATGCCCACGTGAAATATCGGCCCCTATCAGCAAGCATATCGGTCGATAGCTGATATGCCTCCAGGTGCCCATATCGGCCAACCGATATATCGGTCGGGATCTAATATGTATAGACTGTTTTTTGCACTCAAAATTTTATAGGGAAAATAATGAATGAATAAATGAATGAATGCTTTTAGTAAACTAAATTCTTATCTAATTCGGCGTGAATGTAAACTTAAAAGCGTTTCCAAAACTCCAAGCGCGAGTAAACAGCGCTAATATACACGGGGGTTTGGAATGGGAGCGGAGCGGCGCTAACAAACAAGACACTAAGTGCTATTTAGCAACAGAAATACGAGCGCTAATCACAAAAAACAGTTCACCGATTGCTGCTCAACAACTCACCGCTGAGGAAGAGACAGTTTGGAATCCGGAAAATCCACCAATTTACAAGTTTGTCCCTCCGTCGAGTGGAACATGGACCACAGTGAGAAGAGGAGGAGGAGACAGAGAAGTGACCTCCTCTTCCTCTTCCTCCTCTTCCTCCTCCTCCTTCTTCTTCTTGTGAGGTTTTATTGGCGTTTGACAAACAACTACAGGTGCATTACCGCCACCAACTGATAAAGAGTATGAACTGAAATGCGACTTGGTGATGATCAAAAACAAAATAAAATAAAATAAACAAATAGATAGATAATATTACTAATAACAACAGTGATCAAATGATAACTAATGCAAAATAATAAATCAAACCCCGTTAATCAAATTAAATATCTGAGAAGTATATACAAGTCAAATGACAAAACGGTAGAGCATGAAACCTTTACTAACTCTGTTCAAAGAATTATTCCAACTATTTCAGATCAGTGTCAGCAAAACTGAAAAATCAATCACTAAAAGAGAAATGATGGATCTGATCAAATCAATGCAGAAAGGTAAATCAGCTGACAACGACATAAACATCACAGGTTGAGTGGTCAGATCTGCTGACCCACAGGTTGGCTGGTGTGATTCCAGCTCCCACAGATGAATGCTGCTGTTGTGTCCTTGGGCAAGACACTTAACCCACCTTGCCCACAGTGTCTGTGTGCACTTGTGTGTGAATGTGTGAGTGGTTCCTTATTGTAAAGCTCTTTGAGTGCCTTGAAGGTGGAAAAGTGCTGTAGAAAAATGTGACCATTTACCATGGCGGAATGTAAAAACAGTGAACTCTTGAACTCTGTCACCAATGTCCCATAAAAAAAATACACACAACCATGGGCTGTACAGTTTCACAGTTTCAAGATTCAATAAAACTTCCATTTTCCTTCATTTGACCCACACTGATAGATCGAAAATCCATCTCAATAGGTACAGTAACGTTTTAAAATATTTAAATTTTTGTGTATTTTGGCAAAATTTTTGAAAAGTCATCACATTTAAGGATTAAAAAATGACACATAGGGTATTTTTACTACTGATGGATGTCAAAATGGGTCAAATTTGACCCAAATAGCATGTAAGAGTTAATGTAGCCAAATTGCCAATTAAATGATCTTATTTCTATCAGCAAGCTATAACCGCATGGAAGTTTTGCTATAAACATATTTTTTCTCCTCACACAAGTATTATATGGAACAATGAGTACATTCTAAAATATAAAAAGTCAATCTTCTTTCAATCCTGGGTGGATAAAAATATAATTTACGTTTCAGATCTCTTTGATGATTCAAGCCAAATTTGAAATTACGAGACATTTATGCTAAAGTATCGATTCCCAGTCCCTTTCATAGAATTTAAATCAGTTACCGAATGTGTGCCAAAGGGCGTATTACAATTGATGAAGAATCACTAGAGAGCTTCAGTTTTTAACCGTTACAATTTATACATAAATGGAATTGAATTTCTTAATAAAAATTGCAATAACAAACACATTCGGATCAGTTTACTCAGCAACAATAAAACTCAACCCAGAGGAAAATTTTACTGGAACACACAATTTCAAGATATTCAATGGCATAAAACCCAGACACTCTCTTTTCAGTACCCAATCATCTATAAAATACAAGAACTCCACTTTAAAATCTTACACACATTTTACCCCACAAAATTTTTTTTATCCAGATTTCTCCAAATCGACCCAGTTTGCAACTTGTCTCTGTCACACCCTGAAAGCGTTCTTCATTTATTTTTCTCATACCCCATCAGCTCCTTCTACTGGAAACAAATAGAAGATTTTCTCTACTGCACAAAATTTAGATATTTCAAGTTAAATAGGTTTAGGGCAGAGAGGGTAACAATTAAAAAAAAAAATTCACTGAAATCGGAGTTCGTTTGAGCAAATGGGAGCAATTTGTAAATCTCCAAAATTGTGTGCATTTTTTGTTGCTTCACTGCTCAGAGACCGTAAGACGTGTGAAAAATGTGGATAACTTTTGATGTTCCACATCTTGAGATAATGTGGACCAAATTTGCCCTCAGAGGAGTTCGTAAAAGCTTAGCAAATTTTAATCCAATATTGCTGCCCCCTAGTGGAGGACACGGGGTTGGCATAATAATATTTTTTAATTGGCATGATCGACTTCTGTGTCAAATTTCATGTTTTTTACCTGCACTTTTTTTTTTTTTTTTGCCTTCATTCCTATTCCTTAATGCATTTTTGAGTTGTTTGAGGGCTCTGACGAGCCATTTTATTTATTTTTGGAAAATGGCCTTGCCTCAAGTGGAGGAGTTCAAGTATCTCGGGGTCTTGTTCACGAGTGAGGGAAGGACGGAACGTGAGATTGACAGGCGGATTGGTGCAGCGTCTGCAGTGATGCGGTCGCTGTATCGGACCGTTGTGGTGAAGAGGGAGCTGAGTCGAAAGGCGAAGCTCTCAATTTACCGGTCAGTCTTCGTTCCTACTCTCACCTATGGTCATGAGCTCTGGGTAATGACTGAAAGGACAAGATCGCGGATACAAGCGCTCGAAATGAGTTTCCTTCGCAGGGTGGCTGGGCGCTCCCTTAGCATAGGGTGAGGAGCTCAGTCACATGGGAGGAGCTCGGAGTAGAGCCGCTGCTCCTCCACGTCGAGAGGAGCCAGCTGAGGTGGCTCGGGCATCTGTTCCGGATGCCTCCTGGGCGCCTCCCTCGGGAGGTGTTCCGGGCATGTCCCACCGGGAGGAGGCCCCGGGAAAGACCCAGGACACGCTGGAGGGACTATGTCTCTGGGCTGGACTGGGAACGCCTCGGGGTTCCCCCGGAGGAGCTGGAGGACGTGTCTGGGGTGAGGGAAGTCTGGGAGTCCCTGCTTAGACTGCTGCCCCCACGACCCGGCCCCAGATAAGCGGAAGAAAATGGATGGATGGATGGAAAATGGAAATAGTCAAAAGTTAGAGAAGAGAACGTTTTACCAGAGGGCAAATTTTCCAGGACTTTTCGTCATGGGTGAGTGGGTGAAAAATGTTGGTTAGGAGAAAAAAATTAAGAAAGACAGAGAGAAAGAAAGAAAGAATAATATTTTGATACGAGAACAATGTTCCATTTTTTTTTTCTTTTGGCCGACAATCTATACATTTTAGGAAACCTCTAGCGCATTGCTACGTCATGGCGAGGGTCCCTGCTCACTACGGGCGAATCACGTCGTGCCATTTCACTTTCGGGCCACTAGGAGCATCGCTTTGCGATTCTAACGGGCCCTTCGCCAGCCTCTGGTGCTCGGGCCTAAAGAAGAAGAGGAAGAAGAGGAAGAGGAGGAAGAGGATGTCACTGCTCTGTCTCCTCCTCCTCTTCTCACTGTGGTTCATGCTCCACTCGGCTTGAGGGACAAACCTGTGAATTTGTGGATTTTTCGGATTCCAAACTGTCTCTTCCTCAGCGGTGAGTTGTTGAGCAGCAATCGGTGAACTATTTTTGTGATTAGCGCTCGTATTTCTGTTGCTAAATAGCACTTAGTGTCTTGTTTGTTAGCGCCGCTCCGCTCCCATTCAAAACCCCCGTGTATATTAGCGCTGTTTACTCGCGCTTGGAGTTTTGGAAACACCGATTATACTAATTAAATATTGAACGCTTTTAAGTTTACATTCACGCCGAATTGTAGATAACAATGTAGTTTACTAAACGCATTCATTCTATCATTGTTTTCACTTTCAATTTTGTCCGTTTTGGCAATTTTTTGAGGTAACGCTAAATTAGCTATAGGCTACCATTTTGTTTATCTTCATTGAATATCAAGGAACTGACGAAGCTACGACTATTTTTGATTTGATGCGCAACTTTACTTATTCATCTGATTATCTGCTTGAGTATTTTGATCTCTACTGAAATCATTTACTGAGTACATATTTTTGGTATATGAAAAAGTGCAGTTCCCTTTTTGATTAATGAATGAATTATTGATCGATGATTGTGTTTAATAGTCACTTGAGTGTTGTTTATTGTTTGTTGATTTAACCTGAGAAAAAATGTGGTTCTTTCTAATATACAAAGTTGGTATCTCCACGTGTTCAAAATGTTTACAAAAGGTAATTTTATACTAAAGAAGTGACACTAATCGCATAGCCGGTAACCATCATACTCAAGGGACACTTTCTTTGGGTGCGAAAAAAAGAGTTAAACTTTTTTTTTTTTTTTTCATGAAGAAAGGGAGGGTGTGGCACCCTGGAAATATTCTTTAAAAAATGCACCCCCCAATAACATTTTAATTGTTGTAATGTTTTGACTATATTTTGATTCATTTCTGTGTGGCTTCTGTCTTCACGTGTGTTACATGTATCATATCTGCTGAACATGTGGATTAGAATTCAGAGCAACAAAGCTGTTCAATATCTGTATATGTTCTCTTAATTTGATCTTCTTTTGCTACAGGCAGAGAAAGTGTGCCTTCAAAATCAAATACAAACTTAGTTGATTCATTCAGCCAATTGGAACTCACTCGTAAAACACACATTGAAACATTCTTACATATGATTTATGATGTGCATTTTTTTATGTGTATTTAGTTTGTTACTTTATTTGAACAGTTAAAAGTGATTTTACTTGACATTTCCTTTCCTTTGTTCTAATGCAGAGCTACAAGATCCACCAACAGTATGGCCTTCACATGTGACCAGTGTGGAAAGGAGTGGCCAAAAGCTTCCAAACTGAAAAAACACTACAGAACTCATGCAGGAGAAAGACCATACAGCTGTGACCAGTGTGGGAAGGGATTTAAACACTCTGGTGCGCTCAGTGTTCATATGAGAATCCACACAGGGGAGAAACCATACAGCTGTGATGTTTGTGAGAAGACATTTTCATGGTCAAGCAACCTAGAAAAACATATGAGAACCCACACTGGAGAGAAACCATACAGCTGTGACCAGTGTGGGAAGAAATTTATAGACTCTGGTGGCCTCAAACAACATATGAGAACCCATACAGGAGAGAAACCATACAGCTGTGACCAGTGTGGGAAGACATTTTCACAGTCAAGCGTTCTAGTCATACATATGAGAATCCACACAGGGGAGAAGCCATTTAAATGTGAACATTGTGGGAAGGAATTTAGACAGTCTTGTGATCTCCATCGTCATATGATAATCCACAGAGGGGAAAAACCATACAGATGTAATGTTTGTGAGAAGACATTTTCATGGTCAAGCAGCCTAGAAAAACATATGAGAATCCACACAGGAGAGAAACCGTACAGCTGTAACCAGTGTGGGAAGAAATTTATAGAGTCTGGTGACCTCAAACGACATATGAGAATCCATACAGGGGAAAAACCATACAGATGTGATGTTTGTGAAAAGACATTTACATGGTCAAGCCACCTACGAAAACATATGAGAATCCACACTGGAGAGAAACCACACAGCTGTGACCAGTGTGGGAAGAAATTTATAGACTCTGGTGACCTCAAACAACATATGAGAATCCATACAGGAGAGAAACCATACATCTGTTATGTTTGTGAGAAGACATTTTCACGGTCAGGCAACCTAGAAGCACATATGAGAATCCACATTGGAGAGAAACCATACAGCTGTGACCAGTGTGGGAAGACATTTTCACGGTCAAGCATTCTAGTAACACATTTGAGAATCCACACTGGAGAGAAGCCATTTAAATGTGAACATTGTGGGAAGGAATTTAGAGTCTCTAGTCATCTCCATCGACATATGAGAGTCCACACAGGGGAAAAACCATACAGATGTGATGTTTGTGAGAAGACGTTTTCATGGTCAAGCAGCCTAGAAGAACATATGAAAGTCCACACTGGAAAGAAGCTGTATGAGTGTGACCAGTGTGGGAAAGCTTTCTCTCAACCATCCCATCTCAATAAACACAAGAGAACTCACTTCTGGCAGATACTATATGAGTGTGACCAGTGTGAAAAGGCTTTTAGAACATCCCAGGAACTCTCCAGTCACCACCGAACACACACAGGAGACAAACCAGACGACTGTGAAGAAAGAGGGGAAGGCTTTCAGGTCTGTGAGGAACTGTCTGAAACATGTCTAAATCTTCGAGACTGAAGAGAAAAGCTACAGCTCCAACCACTTTGGGATGACTTTGAGACAACCTGCTCATCTGAAGGTGCACCCTCTTGAACACACTAAAGGACAAAGAGCTGCTGAGGCCAGTATTCTGTCAAAATGAGCTCCCGCAGCCTAAACTAACAGTGATGTCTATCCATTCATGTAGCTCTGTCGAAATGAGCGACCTTATGTTTTTCTGTTTACTGTTGTATAGACTAGGGATGGGCATTCGATTAAATTTTCTTAATCCATCGTCGGGAGAATTAACTATTGATTATCAATTAATCATTAACGTTTTTATATTAAAATTATCATCATTATTATTACATTTCTGCACTACTAATCTGCAAAAATAAATTTGATTTTACGATTTATAAACTGTAACCACTCTATAGCCACATCAGCCTGTTTGACATTATAATGTGTTTAATGCAGTTTTGCGCAACTCTCACAGAAACAAAACTTAAAACTGCATGGCTAATTTGCATAAACTAAGCGAAGAAAAAAAAACAGCTCTTGTGTGCTGATGCGGTATGACTCAGTGGAATACAGGTTAGTGTGAACATATTTGCGTTTGTCAAAACCAGGACACTGTGCGGGGGGCGGGGCCTCGTCATCGACATTGAGCTACTCTCACCTGGCAAAACTTTTCATATTTTCGGTGTCCTTATGAGCTGTACACTGTGCACATGGCCTCACACTTGTCCTCCTAGTCATCGTTAAATGCGCATTTGTGCTTCGCATGTTGCAGGCTGACTGACTGTTTATGTCTCGCTTCTTCTGAGTTACAGAGAGCTACATGTCCGGACCTCCTTTTGTCCCCGGACACGGACGTTTGGTCACCCTACATTCTGTTTGTTGACTAAAATGAACGTAATCGATGAAATTCTTCATGATCAATTATCGATTAATCGACTAATCATGCCCATCCCTAGTATAGACCCTGACCTCTCCAGTTTGACAGCATATTTCTTTGGATTAGGACTGCAGGTTTGATGCTGTTTGCCCACAGTGATCAGACTTTATACCTCAGTTATGTCAAATCTAAACTCATTTATCTAAATCTGTGTAGTTCATTTGGACAGTCGTATTCTGCTCAAATAGGGCTCCAACTAAAGGGAGCACATATCGACAGGACAATTTATCCATCAAATAATACTCCCACTATAGAATCACCATTATGTAATAATTTAATGAATTTGGGCAGAGGAGCAAATCTTGACTAAGTCTTGTGGCAAATAATGCACCACTAGAGGGTGCACACCTCACCTTTGTGATACTGGGGACTAAGGGTGTGCAGAAAGAAATATATTTAATGTGATGATACAGTATATCGTGGGCTGCTGTATCAATGTGTCGGCCAAGACTATTTTTTGGTATATTTTACTAAATTATTTAGTTACAGCGCTACAGTTTTGTTGCTGGTTTAGTATGAGATTACTTTATCTTTGCAAATCTATGTGTATTTGTAAATATATCTTTTTTCATTTGCAAAAAATAATTTATTAAATTTATAAAACTGAAAATTCTGTTTGTAAAATGTGATTCACATTTGTGCATCACCAGTTACAAGAATCCACCAATTTACGGTATGACGTAATTTTGAAACACTCACTTTGAAAAATCCACAAACACAGACAGATCCACAAACTCACACGTACTTGACCAGCAGGGGGCAGCAGCTGGCACACAAAACATTTGACACTGTGGAAATGGAAGCGTCTCTTGTTAACTTAACGTTAGGCTAATGTTTACCTTTATCAAACGCCTCAACAGCGAAGGACTAAACCAGAACTGAACTAGGACTAAAACAGAACTAAACCATAACTGAACCAGGATCGAGTGTCTGAATGACCCGGAGTTGTGCCCGTGTAGACGGTCGTGTGACCACGAGCGAAAAGATTGTCTCAGAACTCTGCGCCCCGCAGGGCTAAATGCAGTCGTCACCCGAACGTGCTTTGCAGACACTGTGCTTCACGAACCTCACTCTCTTTCTCTCAACTCAAAGATTAGTCCTGGTTTAGACCTGTTTTGGTCCTGGTTCAGTTCTAGTTTAGTCCTGTTTTAGTTGTGTTTCAGGTCTGGACTACTTGGCCAGTGTAACCCGGAGGTAAGTTAAAAACACGCATTATTTCACGCATTAAACCTCCTAGGACTCTCGCATGGCATGGCTTTATTGATTTCTCTTTGTTATTTGAGCTGATTGGGATCTGATGAGTGCAAAAACTAAGAATTATATTTTTATGTTTATATGTCCAAATATGATATATAAACATTTATTTCATGTTTAATCATTTTGATGGAACACATTAAAGTCACAAATGAATAATGTTTTGCAAAAACTATTAAGTGCTTGAACAACACAAAATGTGTTGGACATATATGTCCACATGTGTGGACGCCAGGTCCTTGGAGACTGGGGCCACAGAACTGTTGGTTGATGAAATGCTCCACGATTAATGAAATGGGTCAAATGCAGATGACAAAGTAAAGCCAACACTGCCCTGGAGGTGCTGAGCCAGACCCCTGCCACCGTTTAGGTATGGGGCATGTTCCATTGAAAACTCCAGTAATAAAAACGCCTGCAAATGACTCATGCTCATATTGAAATCATTATTTAAATTGTGAAAATACACATTTCTCAAATTTGTGTGGACTCCTGTATTAATTTAGCTGTTTCAATGTGTGTGTCATTACAGGTTTTCACTCTGCAGGACAGAACAGATGTAAGGCCCATTTTGCTCTTCCTCCTCCAGAAGACGAGAGATGCATCAGACTGAGTGGTCCAAGTACACGGTCCATGTGTCCACTGCCCATGTCCAGAATCTCTGAGGACGAAGTCCAGAGTCACAGGAGGAGGAGGAGGAGGAGGTCCAGACTGCAGATGACCTGTGGGGCCTCTGGTTGCATCAGGCCTTCCTCCTGCACATTCTGTCTGCTGCTGTCCTCATGTGTCCTGATGGTGATGTGTATTTAGGTTTAACTTCTAATTTCCTGCAGGAGTAAAATAGTTAAATGGTAAATTAGCTGAGGAGCACCTAAAGGCTTCATCACTGAGGAAGTGTCCCATGATAAATGTGGCCTTATATGAACTTAACAAGTGAGTGAGACAAAATTGAAATCATATAATTTACTCATAACTTTATCTGAATGTTTTTCAGTCTATTCTGACATTTGATTCATGGTGCATGGTGAAAGGTGCCAGATATTTGATGTCTCTTTTGATAGTGACTAATTACATATATTATATACATATATAAGAATGTACTGTTGTTAAGCAGTAGTATTCCACCTGATCATATTTTGCAAAGATCATTTTGGATTGTCACCTGCTTCATCAAAAAGGGAACAACTATTTGAGAGTACACTCACATACAGCTGTTTGTACTAATATTATTAAGTGTTTGTGCATGGATATATAATGGGTTTAATGTTTGATTATTCACAGTATGACAAAGTATTTCCAGAAGTTCCTTTGATTGGTTAATAAACCATCTTTACTCAAAGGAGAGTCATTCTTTATAAACTGACTTAAATGCTTTCCCTGTATAAATGTAAGACCCGGCCTTAGGGACACGGCTATAGTTGGAGCCTTACTGTAGTCAGAGCATATCTTTCTTATTTCTGTTGAATCGCTTTTTGCTTCTTGCTTGTCCCACATGTCGATCATCACTTCTGCTTTTTAGGACATTCCCTTTCCGTCAAAAACTTTCTCGTGAATTTGTTTTGGGGGTTTGTATTTGTGTTTTTTTGCCACATGTAAATTTGTCTCAGCGCTTGTATAAGTATTTCGTGTTTTGCAAATTTGTTTGCACATTTGCAAATGTGTTTTATAAAATGTAAATTTGTTTTCAAGATGTAAATGTGTATTTTAAATGTAATTTTGTTTTCAAACTTGTTAATGTGTATTGTGTACTGTAAAAGTGTTTTTCACTTGCCGGCCACCGTACAATATAGTGCATTATTTTAAGCTACTTTATTCTGGCTTTATCTTTAGGTCAGGTTTTTTGTTCGGATCAGAGTTGAGAACTACAGACGTGCAGAGGAGAAAAGATCATCTTCCAATACTGGATGGCAAGCCCCACCCCAAAGAGTCAAAAAAACTGGTAGCTTGTAGCCCGACTGGCTACGAAGGACTACAATACCCAGGTATAATTTTACTGCCGAGTTAAACAGCTCACTCCACTGCAGTTTAGTGGAGGAGCAGTCTCCTGTTGTGGGTGACCTCCTTTGGTTCCTGTTAATGTAAATATTATCAATGCGGTGTTGATGTAAGGCAAGGCAAGTTTATTTGTATAGCACAATTCGTACACAAAGTAATTCAAAGTGCTTTACAGAATGAGAAATACATTAAAATCATAATAAAAACAAATCAAAACATAAATAATCATGAAGATTAAAATTAAAAAAAGAGAGACATAAATTGGAGAGAAGAGTGCGGAATGAAAACCTTTCAGTTATATGCACAGTCAAACAGAAATGTTTTGAGTCTGGATTTAAACAGCGTCACAGAAGAGTCTGTCTCACATGTTCAGACTGTTCCAGGTTTTAGCTGCATGAACCTGAAACTCTGACTCCCCTTGTTTAGTTCTGACTCTGGGCACCAGCAGGAGGTTGGTCCCTGAGCTCCTCAGAGTGTGAGATGGTTCATATGACACTAACATGTCACAGATGTACTTTGGTGCTCGGCCATGGAGAGACTTGTACACAAGCAGAGCTGCTTTAAAGTCTCTGAGGCACAGGAAGCCAGTGCAGAGACCTGAGCACAGGATGTAATGTCTACAAATAAAATATATACGAAAACTGGTTCAGAAGCAAAACGCTTCTCATTGTAACATGGGGAACACTGCTGTCTGCGTCTCTTTTACTCCTCGACTGCGCATGCAGCTTGTCTGTGACATCAAATTCATCCATACTCCAAAAAATACAGTAAATAAAATTAAACTGCAGGAATTGTCCAATCTTCAATGCCTCCAGTAGGGCTGGGTGTCATTAAGAAGTTGCCAATAGGAAACATTTTGATACAGTGCACTTTTGATTCGATATGATACATTTCACATAGATTAGATACGGTTCAATAAAAAAATAAAGGCTAAATCATAGCTGGAATACCAAAATTCTTTATTAAAATGCTTCTTGTGCGCAGTTAATATGAAACAACTCCTCAAAACAGTGAATATGTCAAATGCTTTGCATAAACAAGATTCCTTCCTCTAAACAAGCAACAAAACTTGAGAGCTAAAAAAAAAAAAAAAAAGTGGCTGTTTGCTGCAGGTGTTCCACTGGGAGCAGGTAGCGGGTGCTCTTGGAAAAAGGATCAAAACTTAAAACACAACGGACTCCAGGTACTCCAAAGAAGTAAAAAATCGCACGAGAAAAAATATAGTTAAAAGGCCTTTATTAAAATCATTATATTATAAATATTATATTATATATATATATATATATATATATATATATATATATTATATTTTTTTTGCCTGTGTCATGTCCTGTGCTGCTGATCTTGCACCTGTTTTGTCTGCCTCTAATCAACTCCAGTCTCTACTATTAGTTGTTGTGTTTTACTTACAGGCCACGCCTGTGTTCTGTTTTTGAAATAAGCCCTGATGAAGACCAGTTTGGTTGAAACATGTTGGCTTCGGTGATTTTCATCATGGTCTTTTAAAAAAAAAATTCCTCGTGCGATTTTTTTACTTCTTCGGAGTGCCTGGAGTCAGTTGTTTTTTAAAAATGTAGCACTGTAATAAAAAAATGTTGTAAAATATACCAAAAAAGTCTTGTGGATACATTGATAGAGCAGCCCACGATATTCATACTGTATCATCACATTAAACGATACAATATTTTGATATTTCTGCACACCCAGTATCACAAAGGTGAGGTGTGCACCCTCTAGTGGTGCATTATTTGGCACAAGACTTAGTCAAGTTTTGCTCCTCTGCCCAAATTCATCAAAATTATTACAGAATGGTGATTCTACAGTAGGAACATTATTTGATGGATAAATTGTCCTGTCGATATGTGCTCCCTTTAGTTGGAGCAGAATACGACGATGCAGATTTAGATAAATGAGTTTAGATTTGACATAACTGAGGTATAAAGTCTGATCACTGTGTGCAAACAGCATCAAACCCACCGTCTCTAATCTAAAGAAATATGTTGTCAAACTGGGGAGGTCAGGGTCTATACAACAAACAGAAAAACGTGCGGTCACTCATTTCGACAGGGCAGCATGAATGGATAGACATCACTGTTGGTTTAGGCTGCGGGAGCTCATTTTGACAGAATACCGGCCTCAGCAGCTCTTTGTCCTTTAGTGTGTTCAAGAGGGTGCACCTTCAGATGAGCAGGTTGTCTCAACGTCATCCCACACTGGTCAGAGCTGCAGCTTTTCTCTTTAGTCTGTAAGATTTGG